TAGCAGAACCAAAATCATCAAAGCTGTAAGATTATCTCCCCAGTTCACCAGCAGCATCCTGATGTGTGGAGGTGCTGCAGTGTACATCCCTATTGCTGACAGCTGGCAGTACACAGCTCCACAGCTGACAGAGACACTACAGTCTCCTTTGCTTATAGCAGAGATCATGTCAGCATAAGAAGAATCAGGGCCGTAGCTCATCCAAAATAAAATTCTACTGATTGCTTAATTCATGTAAACTCAAAAGTATCTATCTTTCTTAATTAATATCAAAAAAATGAACTAAGATGACAAATTCAGCTGTAGAATTCTGCATTGTACACATCTACCATAGGATATAATTACGTCCACTCTTGAACTTAACAAGTAATTCCCTGTGCCAGTGTGTGCCCAGGTGGCCAAGAGGCCAATGGCATCCTGGCCTGGATCAGCACCAGAGGGGCCAGCAGGACCAGGGCAGAGATCATCCCCCTGTTCTCAGCACTGGCGAGGCCACATCCCAAATCCTGGGTTCAGTTTTGGGTGCCTCAATTCAGGAAGGGCATTGATAGGGTGGGGAGAGTCCAGGGAAGGGCAATGAAGCTGCGGAAGGGTCTGGAGCACAAATCTGATGAGGAGAGGCAGAGATAGCTGGGGGCGTTTAGCCTGGAGAAAAGGAGGCTCAGGGTGACCTTGTCATTTTCTACAACTGCCTGAAAGAGGTTGCAGTGATGTGGGAATAGGTCTCTCCTCCCACGTAACAATTGATAGGATGTGAGAAAATGGCCCTAAGTGTGACAGGGGAGGCTTATATATTGGATATTAGGAAAAGGTCCCTCACTGAAAGGGTTGTCAAGCACTGAAACAGGTTGCCCAGGGAAGTGGCTGAGTTACCATCCCTGGAGATATTTAAAAGGTGTGTTGATATGATGCTTGAGGACATGGTTTTGTGGTGGGCTTGACAGTCCTGGGTTAATAGTTGCATTTGATGGTCCTAATGGTCTTGGCTAATCTAAATGATTCTACGATATCTGATATGTCTAAAATTAATAAATCTTTTCATTTCTTCAAACCAGTTTCAACTAAAACCTTGATGTAAAATATAATCAGTCAAAGCACAAATCTACCAGATCACACATTTTTGCTATAGCTTCTTCTTGGGCAGATCTGGCTTCAAGATTTATTCCATATACTGGAAGCAGGAAAAAAAACTGTCCTCCCAGATTTGTTCTTTTGCTGGTTTGAGAGATACCAAGCTAAGTAATGGGTTGTAGGTAAAGTAGGACTGTGAGGACCCCAAATATTACATGTTTCAAATGATTAATAGCCTAGATGCAATGGAAAGAACAGAGAGAGTTAGCAAAATAAATCCCATGGCTTTAGAATACATTCAATGTATTCACATTGCAGATTATCAACCACAACTCCCATAAGGTGAGGCGTAGTGCTAACTCCTTCCTGCCAAGATAAATTATAGCTAACTCAAAGACTTTTGATAAACAATGTGTGATTTCTAATAGAGATAAATTATGCACCTACATAAAGCACTGACAGGCATGAGAAGGGGTAGGGGAATTGGTGAACACCCAACTTGTCCTATTTGATTATGCCTTGGCAAGTGAAAATATAAGTATGGCTTCATGGCAGCACCAGTGCAAGAGTCATTGATTTGTATTGATTTTATCCATCTCTGTAGTCTGAAATAACATACATAGAATCAGAATCTTGGCAATATATAACACAAAACAGTTTTTATTCCCTGGTAGCTTTTGCCAAGGTAAAATATCCTTATATTCATGTGAGAATTGTGGTTTCTCTTTAGTAACAGATCCAAAACTCACCAACAACAATTTATCTTGATGGGTTTAGAATGGCTTAGTAGGGTTAAAACTAGTGTCTATTTGCCAGGGCAATGTCATTAATTTTCGTAACCAGGCATTTGAAAGAGTAGCTCTAGTTTCACCAATAATACATTAAAAATCAACCAGAGGGATTCTGACACAGTTTTCCTAACTGGCTGAACAATTTACTGCTACAAATAAAACTCACGAGAGTCCTAAGCACATTTTTTCAGTTTGCAAATTTTTTTTTGAGTTGCCAAGGACATTTCATGATCAGGGAGCTCACTGCTTCTTTCTAAACAAGTAGATATTATAATTGCAATTTTATTCCAAAAAAGCTCTAGCTGAAATAGTCATGGCCTTTTTCCTTTACATAGTCGTACAATTTTTGCTGTTTGGCAGGCATGGAAAATTAAGAATTTCTTTGTGTTTTGATACTGGAGTATTTTCAGATGATAAATAATTATATATATTTCAGTCCTTGCAGCTCACAAATCTGTCTCAGGGATGTCCTTCATTCCAATCTGCTTGTCCTAGCTTCATCTGCTGAACATGGGATTGCACACATGGCTCTTACACAGGGCTACAGCACACATGCAGTGCAGCAGAGAGCAGGAGGTTTGTAGCATACACTAAAGAGCAAATTGCAAACTGAATGTCACAGTGCAATTTCACAGAAGCCTTTTTGTTTTTCTTTGGCTGCACCACAACTATGAAAGTGAGTAGTGATGGAAGATCATCAGCACCTGCCCCAGGCAGAGCTCTCTTAATACACACTTTTGGGAAACCCCTTCTCATATACTGTAGCTACGGACACATAAAGAATGGCAACAAAAAAGGAAAGAAATAAACTTCCTTATGTGGGGGAGACTTATTTGGAGACTTTAAGGAACAGACTGAGAAAGCATCTGCAGGAATAATGTAGTTAACCTTGCTGTAGGCAGGAGGATGGCCTATGTGACCAACAAGTTAGTCCATTTCACCTGCATATTCTCTGAGTTTTGAGATGCAAACTTAAAATCAGCCTCCCTGTTATCAACTATATATGAAGAATTTTAGAGTGCTATCTCAGTATGGCTTTTTTGCATGCAGATCCTCTGGGGATCATGGCTGCGAAGCACAGAAAAACAGAAATGGGACACACAAAAAACGAAGTGGAAATGAGAAGAAAAAAGGAAATGAGAAGAAAAAAAAATATTACCGCTTCCTTTGCTGTAGCAGACTTGCTGAGTTTTCAGCAATTTCAAATATCCACTTTGATTTTTAAACAGAGCTCATTATGGTTATGCCAAATAATAACTTTATGCTATACCTTGTCTTTACATATGAATTTAATCTGCATTCTACCCCTTGAACACCCATCCTTGGGCCATCTTTCAGAACACCATGTCTCAACACTGGTATTTGGCTTACCAGAGATCTAATGAGTTAATGATGAATTACAGCTTGAGATATTTTAAAAGCTGTGTGAAATTGTGAAACACAAGGTAAATAGATGTATGCAGTTCTGAAGAAATTACTGACTGACAGAAAGGGAAATTTCAAACTGGCCTGCAAAATTTAAACATTGACAACTTGCAGAATCAGTTTTAATAATTTTTCTTTTGTGTAAAATTGTAAAACTTTGACCTACCTTTTAGAGTCAAAATTCAAATTTAAAGTAATAGTAACAACTATCCATGTATTTTTTTAAAGTTACAGATCAAATAACAATATATCTCCCATTCATTCCCGTTATGACTTCTCTAGAAGCTGACACAGAACCTGCAGATCAACCATAAGTTTCATGGCGAGAAAAGAGAGAAAATGGAATCTGGAGGGCACAAACAGGGGCCTTCATCTTCCCCACCACACCTTCAATAACAACAGTATTTAACAGCTTACCAACAATTATTCCAGGTCTTCTATCCATTTCAACAATATGTGGATGCACACCCTTGTATGCTGCATCACTCACAATTTGGGTGTTTTTTCGTACACGCTCTGTTATAGGATCATCTACCACGGGGGTGAAGCCTCTGCCCTTTGTCTTCTCAAAATCTTCATGATATTTTACCTAGGAAAACAAGGAGAATTACATTTTTCCCCAGGTTGCAATTGACAGCAAATGGTTATTCTGTGCAGGAACACATATATGTCTGGTTTATGAGGCACTCATATACTTTGACTTTGCACCATAACAGAATTGTTATGCACATGAGATAGGCTGGATGGCCAGCCAAGTATTTTCTATCACCTTAACTAATTTTTATTATATTTTATTATCAATTTCTCATTTCCATTGATACTGAATTGGACATTAGCTTAAGCAGCAAAGCATCATCCTACTATCTCACAGGACACAAAACAGCCCTGCCCTCAGGAGGTCATCTGGTGCATTCCCTTCTTCTCTACGACAAGATAGGTGTCTACTGATGCAGACAAATACATCTGCCAGTAAAAATATTCCAGCAGTAGTAGTTCTAAAGAACTCAAGCATTTTCATTCACTGATAATTTTGACTACTTGCACAGTATCACACAAAATATATATTTCACCCTTTTGTTTTGTCATATGTCAGCTACCTTTAAAAATAGGTTTTTAGAAAGAACAAGAGTTATTCTGAACTGCTTACTTCAAAAGAAAATATTAGAAAAAAGGACATTAGAGTAGAAAGTGTTACAGCACCAAGTGTTGGAACAAAACCTCAGTATTAGTAAGAGTTATAAAGGTAGTACTGCTGATTATGCATATTTACATTATAAATAACTTAATCATCAATTCATTAAATTGACAAACATTCTCACACAAGCTGATGCACACAAAACAACTCATTCCAAGAACCAAAGTCACGCAGAAACCAGGAACATGCACAGGCACAAGGTGAAGTGTGTCACCTAATCCAGTGAAATTGTGATGCTCAAATGATGTGTGTACATTTTTAAAGGAAAAAAAAAACCAAAAGAACGGACATTTAACTGTTAGAAAACTGTTTATTAGTATTTCGAAAATGTTCATTACACTCCTATGCAGTTAGCAAACACTCCCTCTACAGGTGTAAGAAGAAAATATTCCTTCCATACCTGAGGAGAGAGTTTCATTAGTTACCTATATTAATGGAAGGCAAAATCCAGTGGAAGTCAAGTGCCATTCCTTAGAAGGCTCTAGTCACAGGAAGAAAGTACCCTACCATTGAGATGTTGTTTTGTGTTTCTTTGACATGCCTTAGCTCAGGTGTGTCTAGAAGCACACTACGTCTACCTTTCATCTGCCTCTGATCACTGCTGTACTTGACCTGCAAAACAGCAACAACAGCACAGGTGAATTTTCTTTGCTTACAGTAGGAAGGATGGTGAGAATCACACCATGCAACTGTACCTTTCCAAACCACAATGCCCAACAGTTCTCTTCCTTAACTCATGTGCCAATAAATTATTTCACAGTGAGGATACAGATGAACTTGTACACTGGTAAGGCCAAAAGGCACATTTACCCCATCAATCACTTACTCAAAATAACATATTTATTTAAAAGCTGAAATTTGTGACTGTTTGAATGGCATAAGGGAAATAATTAATTTATCAACTGAAAAATAAGATAAATACTAAGGAAACACGACTGTGACTTAGAACATCCTTAATCCATGTTTGTGTGGTGATGATAAGCTAGCTACCTTCTTATTACCAAGACAGACACAGAGTCTGTGAGACTGGAATTACCTGAGAAATCCAGGGAATTCAATCCTTACAAGAGGATTAATTCTTTGGAAGGCTTATAACTCCCATTCAATAGCTAGTCTTTACTAGCAGCACAAAGCAACATGTCTGGGAGGAATCTGAATATTTTGTTTCCTAAATAAATGTTTGGGCTCTGGGTTTTGTGCATCAGCAAGTACTGAATCACTTACACCACATTTCTCCTGATTAGCTTATTTTGTGGCATTTTACAGACTAGTAAAGCTAAGATGGCTAATTACCTGTTAAAGAAATGGTTAATTACCTGTTAAAGAAAAAAAATCCACCCAAAATCCTAAAACAGGGAAAGTAACTGATCCTACTTATTGGTTTGGGAGTGAGTACTCTTACAGTTTTTTCTGTCTTGTTGAATTCTTCTACCAATGGCCTCTCTTAGCTCTACATTGCACCATGACCTGTGCACTGTGTTAGTTAATATTCTAGATTTACCTATATATTCACACTCGAAGTATTACTTGTTAAATGAGTCATGCAAACCTATTTCAACATGTGTTTGTGATGAGAAAAATCATGTATTGAAACTGTCTAACCCTCCTTAAGATTATATATTGGCTAAGAAAGCAAACCCATGAAAATATATATCTTGGTATCTGTGTTTCACAGGTAAGTTTCAAGTAATGCAGGAGAAACAAAAATATATGGTATTGCATATTCTTCAAAGCCTTCTTAATTAAGCAGTAAATTCTCTTAGAAAATATATTCAGCTACATATGCTTTTGAATATAAGGCATTTTCTGGACAGAATAATTACAGTCAACATAGGCTGATTTTTATCTTTCTCATTAACACAGAGTTTTTATCCCTGTAAATCTTGAGAAACAAAGTGAATGAGTCACTTGGAGAAACACATTTAATTTTCACAAATTAAAAAAAATTACTCAAAAGACTAGAACTGTTGTGAGATTTTCCTCTTATTTTCAACTACACACCTCAAAAATAATTGACTTTGGTAAATATTCATGAGCATTTTTAGAACATGATTAAGACATATGCGGTAACAATGTCAGATTCCGTTCCTTTGTCCTTAGACATATTCCCTGATAAATTCAACCTACTTTTCACTCCTACACTCAGTTCTCAAGCGTTCATTACTTGTAATTCTCTTCTGCCACAGTGATTCTGCATGAAACTTCTTCTATTTACCATCTGCAGTGACTTTGCCATGGATTTTGTTTCAGTGTCGAGGACAGACTGCAACATAACTGGTCTTATCCTTTACTCCATCAGGCTTTTTGCACTTTTTCCTTGTTCCTTAATAGAATTGTCTCATGCTTCTTACACTGCTTTAGTAGCAATTACATTTTATTACCATAAAAGCCAAGAAATAGTTTTTATCTTACTCTTTAGTATTTAGCCACGGGACCTATTTAGAACTACTCAGCTCTAACACACGTGGTATGTCACAGAATGGAATGGACACTTCCATGTTTTGAAACACAAAAAAAGACATTTGCACTGAGGTTAAATTCTCATTTCCTTTTTTTTCTTTACTGCAAAGAATTACTGACCTCTAGTGACTCTCTCCTTGAAAAATACTGACACCAACACAACCACTTACTTTTTTTGCAAAAATAACCAGACAACCCTGAATATGTTTGTTGCACATATATGCAGTCCATGTCCTCAAAGAATAAAACCAATATCTCATCAGTGAATGATGTAGTTGGCTTTCTTTGACATAGCAAATGTAAAAGGAAAAGCATATCCATGTTTATATTTCTACAGCAACTGAAAAATCTGAATGACAAAAAGATTCAAACAACTTGCCGAGCTGATATTATCTTGATTCTTCTTGACTCTCTCCATCTCAGGAGTGACACTCACAGCAGTAGCTTTGCCAGGCTGCTCTCTGTAGTGAATCTATTATTTAACAGAATAAAATATATATTCATACTATTTCAGGTATAGTAACATATCCTTGTTTTATATAAAAATGCATGACTTCAAAGGTCATCCAGGAAACAACAGAAAAGCTAAAATGCATCTAAAGTTTATTACAATATATAAAACTTGATTTTTGAAAGACAACCTTGAATTTTTTTAATGTGCAAGCTGTTCATTAATGCATTTCTGTGGATATATACCCACAATGTGCACAAAATATCTGGCATTTACCAGACTGGTTATTGGCTCTACAGAGAAATAACTCATATTTGGAATGGGATTAAGCCACATATAATGCAGTAAAGGCAAGCAGAGCATATGAAAAACTGAATTTAAGAAAGGTCCACTGTAAATACATATTTGTCAAGACAGAGAAATTCCATAAGTTCTCCATCTATATTCTAAATTCTATATATTACATATTCAAAGGTGATTAAACACAGAGGGTGCAGTACATCAGACAACTACCAATTGAATCCAGCCTAATTTCACCATGCATTTATTTAAATGTACTGTAGGAATATCCCCTTCATCATTCTGTAATCAAAAACATTGCATTAACTGCATTAAATGCACACTCAAGGCTGGATCAGGATCTAAAGCAGATCAAGACAGGATGTGGCACTGACAGACCAAGCAATCTAATGTTAACTCTAGCCCCTCATGCTGGGAAGTCAGATATGGTAAATATTTAGTAACAGATTCTGGCAACAAATTCATATCAAATCATATATTTTTATGCAAAATAAATGCTTCCATACAAAAGCAAGAGCTTGGGTTTAATTGATAAGGTTAACTGTGCAGATACATTATGCTCATAATTCTGCAGTGCACTGTGGCAGTAAGGCAGCTATTGCTTAAGCAATTTTCTTCCAGCACAACACAATTTTGGTCCGTCCACACCAATGTATTCCAATTGAAAAATTAATGTCTTACTAAAACTATAGTAAACTTTTAAATTGATTATACTTGCAAATTAACATTTATAAAGGTAAAATGAATATTCAAGAATTGATGCTTCTAGAAATGGCTGAAGTTAACAAATACTCACTCAAAGCTATTCAGGTGACTTGAAAAGAATTTAAACTTCCCAGTGAAATTTTCACAACACAAAAATTGGTGAAGAGTAAACAGTGTGAGTAGAAGTAGTATACAGGCTGGTTTGGAAAAAGGAAAGCCGTTTTTGAACAGAATACATTCTAGGAAATCTAGATATATCAACAGGAATCCAGAAGTTGAGTTAGAGGGACAGAATTCTTGAAAATTGTGACTTAAAATTATTTTGGTGAACACAGTAGAAAGCACCCAGAGAGACACTGCAGCTGTTTGTGCATCCATGTCCCACAGCTGCTGATGGCAGCTCTCAGTGAGGAGAGTGCCTGGTCTCCCATGGACTCATCAAGAGGGTGCAACTTCATCAGTGCAGGAAGGCAGTAGCATGCTCCAGTCCTTGCCTCCTTCTCTGTACCCCTGCAAATGGTTATCTCAGTCATTAAATACTGAATTCTGATGGGGAGGTTACTGAGGAACCAGAAGGAGACAGGTAAGAGAGCAGAAGTTTGAGCACAGCTGTAGCTAATTTCTCACAAAGCAAAGAAAAATAAAACTGGAAACAGATATTTTGTTTAAAAAAAAAAGAAATGTCAAGATTTTCTGCAAATATCCAAGGAAGAGAATAACATCTCAAAGCATTGCAGCCATTTCTTTAACAAAATATGTGATGGTTCACCTGCCACTTCCCAAACCAAGCAAAGCCTTCTCACAAATACTTCCTAAGAGAAGATTTTCAAATAATTCCATTAATTGAATTTGAACACATTACAATACATTAGTTTCCACCCAGACTAAGGAAAAGGCATCATTTCAGAATGCAGAACTTCATGTTCATCTTCCGCACCCAAAAATTACACAAAGTATTAAAGGATAGCAACTTCCCATGCTGACATTCTCTTGATTCCTCTTGACTCTTTCCATCTCAGGGGTGACACTCATGGGTGTAGCTTTGCAGAGCTGTTCTTTGTACTGAACCTAGCAAACATGTCAGAAGGTATTAGAACAGAGATTTCCAAGTAACAGAAATACGTAAGTGTGCTAGACATCACTACAGAGCACATTGCATTTGGATGGAAAGTACCATTCCTTAATAATCAATCCCATCTTCCCACACAATACTTAGTACTCCCCCTCTGGCAGTCCTTCTATTTCAAACACACACAATTGTTATTTCAACAGGAATACTTCACTCTCATTCTTTTGAATCGAAGTGCAAGACTGAGGAATTATCATTATTATGATTATTATGATAATCAATTATTACCATTAATTGATTAAATTGGTCTTTTTGGAAGAACAGAAAGTAGCACAAACACCACAGACATATTCACCAAGACACAAGCACATTTAATACAGCAGAAAGAATTGTGCAAGAAATGAAAACATGGCACACATTACTGATATTCTTCTGGTTTTCCTTAACTCTCCTTAGTTCAGGTGGATCAGAAATAGTTGTTGCATGCCGAATTTCCTCCTTGTATTTAATCTGCACAATAGATATTACAAAAATATTACCAATTTAAAGAAGAGAGAGATAGGCACTAAAATCCATCTATCACTTTATACCCTTACACATATTGCATTACTAGACCACATCTACTGACACCATTGGCCTGAAAAGCAACAGTTGTACTTAATTTCTAAAACAGTCTGTTGGGGTCTCTGATGTATCTTGTTTGATGCAATGCAGCAGAGAGTGCTTAAAACAATTCTAGTGTACTAAAACTCTTACAGTAGGAATATACATCACATGGGATTGTGGCTATTTTCAACTGGGGTGCTGCATAGACTACTTGGAGATCAACACCACTTTGAAAATTACTTGGTCTTACTATTTACTTGCTGGAGTCTACCAGTCCATTTCAGAAACCAACCTTTTAGGTGTTCCTAAAAGGGTAAATGGCTTCAAAGTCTCATTGAATTTCTTTATAAACACAAGAGACACACAGGTAAGAACGTAGTTGTCTGGATTGTTGAAATCTTTGCAGGTGCTGTCAGATATTTACTGGTTTTTTCCTAACATTTAATTTTCAACTCTCTTCTCAAGACATGTTACTTCTGGAGAATGCCCAATTTCATAGCACAGACAAAACAACTTGTTTTCCTCTAAGCTCATACTTGGAAGCTGCTTTGACTGAAATTTATAAATAAATAAAACCAAACCAGCCCAAAGTACAGACCAGGAATGGAAAATCACAGTCCAGACAGTTTAGGACTGGCAAAAACACTATAGCACTAGAAAAAGGGTCTTTTAATAGAGACTATTAGGTAAGTTTAAGAATTGGCAGTGGTACTCATCCTTAAAATGCTGCAAAATGTCTGTTACTTGAATTTTAATAAGACTCCAGCTTCGTGGTATTGACTGACATACCACAGGGGTTTCCTCACAGATTTCACACTAACAAAAACACAAATAGATTCTCCCAAAACACTTCTTCTTCCCAGTGCTGTGTCCAATCCTGCCTGCCCCACAATATAAACAAGTTTTTTTAAAATCCTTAGTTATTTGTAGCTTCTCCTCTGAATTCAGCTACAGCCCATGGGTCTGTGGCTTGCTTTGAAAGTTCTGAGAGATCTTGGCTTCTTCCAAACCAATCATCACAACAGGTGAGATAAGCTCAACATCCTTGGCTGTCACCACCTTGGTATTTTAGGCTTTGAAAACACAATTCTTATGTTTTCCTCCTACATATGTAGTCTGGAAGAATGTGATCACTTTCAGAACATGATTCAATGGGCTTTTTTGTGTGGTTGGTTGTATTGTGTTATTTTGGTGCCCTGGTGTTTCTTTCAGTGCAAATTTGCTTCACATTCCACATACTAGTTTTGTTTTGCCCAGAAAATAGTTTTAAGGCTGTCCCAAGTTCTTCTGGCTAAATTCAAAAATGCGTGTAAAACATTTAAATCTAATGGATTCAGAATTGGTGTAATTTACCCTTCCTTGGGGACTCCCGTAAATTACACAATACAATTTCCTTCTTACTGCACAATATAATTTCCCTCTCACTGACATGTAATTTGAAACATTCTTGTACATTGCCTTTAAATTTGGCATGCTACACCTCTAATAAATATTATACAAGACTAAAGTAATTTCAAGTACACTACATGTAATAAAATACCTTTTGTAAAACATTAACTCTACACAAAGACTAGCAAGGTAAAGGCCATGCTATTTACATAGTACTACTACACCACTAATGCATTTTGTACTTCCCTTGGTAGGTTTTTCCTGAAGTGTGTTTACTAGCATACTGATCAACCTTTCATTTTTCCCTCCTCACCACTATTTAGGATTTCTAAAACAGCAAGAACAGTGTACACTATTTTTCTATTTCACTTTGAAATGTATTGTGAAAAACCATTAAAGTAAGACTTCTCCTTTCTGTGTGAAATAAATGTCTGTGGTAACTGGAAATTTAAAAGCAAAATAACAACAAAAAAACTAAACAAAGGAACAAAAAAAGCCCCCTCACCCTCAAATCAAGAAAATCAACAGCTTCCCAACCAGCAGGTTTCAATTGTTCAATATCCAACTATTTCAGGATTTAGGACACATGATAGCTTGTGACACTGTGACTCAAAATGATAAGATGAATAGCGATGGATAGAGTAGGAAAAAATTTAAGGAAAATAAGAGCTTTTCAAAATTTTTTGGAAATTCTCTACTGACTTTTCTTTGGTGGGAAATTAGGTGTTTAACACTATACAATAAACAATTAAATTCTATGAGAATAAGTGTCCAGAGATCCTAATTCATATTTTAACTAATACTTAAATACAACATAGTGTCATGTCTCTACATTATTTTTGGACTTTACTTTAAATAAAAAAATCTAATAATTATAAAATCATGTCACAAACATAAAAACTGCCCCAGAGGAGTCCCCACCAAATATAAAAAGGAAATGAACAACACATTTACAAGGGTTTTCTGCTTGGCAGTCACTTTCCAGTTTTTTTCCAAGTTTTGCCGCATATTTAGCAGAAGATGATGTATTATTTGAAGAAAACATTCATTTTGATATTTTATTTTAATCTCCCTATTAAAGTGTCAAAGACATTGGGCATCCTTAGATAAACAAAATCAATTCAGAACTAATCTCATCAGATCCACAGATCAACTTGTTCCCAGCACGTAAAGACCCAACTCTCCACCTTTTCACATAGGTGAAATCTGGACACAGTTTTTCTCATCTTGAAGTACAAACTGTATCAAGTCTTATGCAATACATGCAGTCTCTAACAGAACATGACAGACTTTCTTTTTTGCCACATGGTATTTTTCTAACCTGTAAATACTGCTGCTGTTCAGTCTGTCATATGGGAAATGCATCTCATATTTCTCACTCCTGAGAGTGAGAAGTTTTCCTATCAACAAACCTTGAACAAAACACTTTCCTCAAACATTTAGTTAAAATATTTTCTTTTTTTTTCTTAATTTTTCAATTTGAATCTCTACCTTTGGACACAGAAGTAGTACAGTAGAGGGGAGTTCTAGCTGTGCTAAAGTAGAGCTCTATATACAAAATCCAGTGGACAACTATTTTAATGAGATGTGTGATAAGAAAATGAAGAACTTTTTAGTAAAAAAAATGGTAAAAAAAATTTGCTCCACCTTTTACTCACATAAGAATATTTTATGATAATAGCACTTACCGAACTAATATTCTGTTGATTTTTCTTTACTCTTTCAATCTCTGGAGTATCTTTTACAGCTGTGCCAGCTCCTACTTCCTTCTTATAAAACACCTTCATTTCCCCAAAAGAAAAGATAATTATGAGACTGTTAGCAATGCAAATGCTAGTTCTCATAAAAGGGCTGGGCAATTTTCCAAGTTCCAAATTGGTCTGGCTATAAATCTTGCTAAGAAAGCAAATACTTTAATTTTTCATTAATAAGACTAATTGTCAATAACTGTGATAACATTGTTTTCAGCTGTAACCCAGATAATATATTCTCATTCTTTAAACTGATCTCAGTATTTTTAAATATTTGGCATATTTAAATTTGGAAAAAATATTAGAATTTATATAATAATGTATAAAGTTTTACAAATGTAACTTTATGCTTGAGTAATTTCATTCATTTCAATGTTATTGAAGGTACATGCAGGATTTGATTTGGTTTCTGTAGTCTTCAGATCTTAAAATACTGTGAGAAGTGAACAGACATTACTATTATTTCTAAGTTAACAAACTAGGAAATTGAAATATTCATGGAAAAATAACCATAGCAAACCAGAGCTACAATCCAAGTCATGCAATTTTTGACTCCTAGATTCAAGCCAGAAAGCTGAGGACTATCTAAAACCAAAAGTCACTTCCTAAAAGATACACATGCTGTTTATAATATTCTATTTCAATTGTTTCAGTAAAGGATAAACACAAAGCACATCAGTAGAATCAGTCATTTCAAGTTACTGAAAGAGATAGTAAATAACTGCTCCACAAGTTCCAACAATGGTTACAATTTAAATAACCATGGAGCACCAGTTCATGCTGCAAAACTCCCAAAGTTTTACTGGATTTTCAGTATTTGGTGTCACAGCTGTTGCCACTCCAGTATTTCCAGGCCATTAGCATAAAAAACAAGTCTGATCCTGGAGTTAATAAAATTAATCTTTATCATTTAGTATTTCTGCCTTTCTTATATCAGGATTTATTTAAGTTTTCCTATCAACAAACCCTGAACAATAAAAACATCATTCTTGATTAATTCCTCTGACTTCCTTGAAATCCTCCATAGTGTGGGGTGAATATTACTGCCAAATATTCTAGAGAAGAGTCAATGTCTGCAACTAATATTTTAAATATTCAGAAAACCTTTAACAATCTAGAATTTTGTTTTACCATGTAATAACAGAGACAGGTTATGTGTAAGAACTTGAAAATTCTTCTGCATCATGTCAGTTAGAAAGATTTATATTGTGGACTGGACAATATACTTTTCTCCTCTACCAAGGAAGGATTGGTAAAATATGTTGGAGACAGGAATTTTTCTATGAAAGGGAGGACTGTGAAGTAAATATCCTTTTATAAATCATCTGCCAAATGAGCTAGTGAGCTAAAAGCAGTGACGATCTTATCTGCAGAGCTAGTTGTTATTTTTTGTCCCTTAAGGCAGAAAAATACTTGAGACAAAATCCAAATATCATAAGATTATTAGGGGTCATTGTATTTTTTATCTATTTGGGCTGCTTCCAGCTGTATCTTCACTCAGTAATAATTTGCCTTTATCATCTAAACTGCACAGAAGGATGAAAGATTAAAACAGAGAAAGAAGAAAAAAGGTAGTTCATTCACTGCTGTAAACTGCTTTCCTACAGTTGGAAGACCCAGTTCACAAAGAGGAACAGGAAAATCACAGAAGAAAGCAAATACAAATCACCTCGAAGACAAAACATTTTATTTCTTATTATCTAGAACACCAACAAAGAGGATCATTGTCAGCCTTGGCACTGAAAGCTCATTCTGGCCTCCAGGGCTGCAAAGGGTTCAGATGCATCAGAGACTTGCCAAGGCTGAATTAAGTGGTGATACCTATCTTTAATTAACCAAGCCTGGTACCTCAATGTTAGTGAGTCCACACTGCCAGAGCCACTGCCCTACTTGGGGACTTCATCAAAAGCTATCAAAGGCTGGAGCAGGGAGGAAAATAGATCACTGGGGCTGGCTTGGATGCCTCTGTTCCAGGGAGTTTCAGCCTGACAGGACAGCAGTGACATGAGAAATGGGGATAACCACATCACACTAGGCTGCAGGGCACCATTCCAGGAGCCAAGAGGTGACAGGAAGCAAAACTGGGCCAGTGGGCCTGTCAAGAGCTCCTTCTAGAAAGATGCAGCTTTCAGCTGCCCTCATTCAAAGGAAGAAAAAGGGCAGGTGGTGGCTGGAGATGATCACAGCCTGGAGCAGACTCAGAGAGGAATCTCCTCTGCTCTCCCCATAGGCTCTTACTCCTCTGCAGAACCCTCAGCTGCTCATGGGAGCTGCAGGCAAACACCTCTGGGAGAAACTGAGTTTACTCAGTTACTTCTGAGAGCTAGGGAAGCTGAGGATATCTCTAAGTTAAGGAACACGTGTGTCAGATAATGCTAAAAATATTTAAGTATCTTATATTCCTTTCTCTCAAATCATTGGCTTTATTAGTACTACTTAGTCTGCCATAAAAACCAGCCACTGACTGGCCTTTTGTTCTGGAGGCCAGATTTACTCCTCTTCTCTGTTATATTACAAGTAAAGGCAGAATTACAAACAGCAGCATTAATGGGCCCAAAAGGGAAGTGAAATTTAATACGTCCCAAAATGGGCAATTTCACAAATCTAAGCTCATAATTTATATTTAGGGATAAACTGAAACTTAAATCTAACATAAAATTTAAAAAATATACCCAGTGTAATATAAAATCTTTTTTTTTTTTTTGAAATTTGATCTGTTCTAATTTTATACGCCAATCTTGATGCTCAGTACATGTGATAGGAAACAGATGAAAAGTCTTATATGTGTAGTAAGAAGCCTAAGATTTTTTTTCCCTTTTTAAATAAAGTACTTCCTAGGGCTTGATGGAAAAAGAAAAAAGATTTTCATTTAAAAATAACTGTGGCTTGGCAAGGTGGTATAAGTGGTTTAGAAATTCAAAATAACAGTGTTGCACCTAGAAAAGCTGGATATTATTTTTACTGAAAGAAACGAGTGATACACTCTTGCCAGGAAAATTATGGAAATGGTTCAAAGGACACCTACTCATAAATTCCCTATTTTGCTCTGTGGCACAAGAGAGCCTATTGAAACTAAAAAATATCTGGAAAGTTACAAGCAAAGAGAAAAGCACTATTACTCACTGAACTGATATTTTTCTGAGTACTTCTTATCCTCTCCATCTCAGGAGTGTCTGGGACAGCAGAATAGTTACAGAGCATCTTCTCTGCTTCATCTTTGTACATTTTCTGGAAAAATTATTTTTACATTGTCTATGGTTTTTGGGCTCAAGATATCCAAACTGCACAAAATATGCTTATTGCTGATAAGCCTCCTCATCTCTGTCCAGTATTTACTTAAACCTGTCTTCTCCATGATACTGTTACCACTGTCTGCCCCCACACTAAAATATATACAATGTACCCATATATAATAGATCCTCATCTATAACATACCTTCATACATAATGTATCCTCATACATATCTTCCCCTCACTGTCAGGATACATGTAATGTAATATTAGGTAATTTGGTAATGTGAAAAGAACTACAGGCAGATGTAAATAATTAAATTCTATTTGCATGGTATAACAGGCCTAAATACAAATAAGAATCAGGCGGTTAAGACATTTCACTTCATGTAAATTAATTTAGTATGGCTATGAAAACCTCTACAGAGTTAGAGAAGAAGTATTTTGAGCAGAGTTTTTGAAGCAGTCATTGTTACACAGAATTAAAACATTTGGCTTTTGACTATGTCAACCTGGCTTGCTACTTCTGAAGCTTTTTTGAGCCACTGTTCTTCTGAAATATATGGACCAACTTGCATCCCTTTTCCTATAATTTCTAACCCCAGACCCTTTTTAAAGGATAAAAAAATTATCCTATCCTTTCTGAAGAAAAAATAAAGGGGAAAAACCACATGACTAAAGCTACGACTGTCTGTACATGCTGTCTTCAAAGCTATTCTCATAGTACTGGTCACACTATAAACATTAATTCTTCAATTTATTCAATTTAATATTTTTATTTTGCATTGCTTGCTTTTTTTAGCTTAAGAATGTTCAAGAGGATTTTATGGTTTTAACATCTCATTGTGTTTTGCTTTCAAAGTAATTTTAAAGCAATTAATTCTGTACTCACCTGGCTGAAAATTTCAGAAGCTTTTTTGGCTCGTTGAATATCAAGGGTATCAGTACCCACTTCCATTCCCTTTCCTTTAATTTCATTCTCCAAGTCTTTCTTGTATTCTTTCTGAAAAAAATAGCATTGGAAACATTCACAGCTTTCAGACAAATTCTTAATTTTTTTCCCAATTTAACCAGTGCAATTTCACTGACCAGCATTCATAAACCACCAAATAACTGATGATTCAACAGTACTAGTTTTGTAGAACCTATTCATGCAATGCCTGCACTGCAGCTGCTGATGGGTTAAAAAACTCTTTAAACAGTCTGCTCACTTCAAATACAACGTAGTCTGCCACATCTACCTGTCTCTGCAGTTTTGGCAGACACAGTCAGACTCATGTGAGGATTTCTCCATCTGCTGGGCCTTGCAAGACTGAGGTCATAACGCTCTAACATCCCTCTAAGTCTGTTTATCATTTGGCCCCACCTAAATAAGCAGCTTTTAGACCTAAAAGCATCAGCGCCCACAGTGACCAAGCACACCCAGGCCAGGCACGGCTCATGAGGAACAAGCACAACCTGCAAAAGGGGACAGGATGGTCTAAGTTCTTGGAAGTCTTATCTTTCCCTCCTTACACTGATTATGCAACTGTTCAACTCTTTGCAGCTCAGTGGATTAGCTATTTAGAGAAATCTGTGTTTTCAGGACTGCCTAGATGGGCCACCACCTGGAATTCTCAGCCTCAATAATTTGTTGCACTCTGTCAAAGGAAAGCTCACCCCAGGAGCAGTACTGACCATGCTTGCAATTTCAGAAGCTTTCTTGGCTCGTCTTATCTCAGGTGTATCTGGACCAACATCCATGCCTTTCCCTTTAATTTCAGTTTCCAAGTCTTTCTTGTATTGCCTCTGTGAAGATAGAATTTATATATGATAGCCACGAAATTCAGAGAGTTACAAGTAGATTTTTTTTCCACAAGATACTCAAATTTAGGATTTAGAGTCAATCAAAACTTGCAAGAGTCACAGTTCTCAAGACTCTTGGTGAGCTGTTGTCAGAAAAAACACGTAACAAACTACAGGAGGAAAACTTTTAGAAGATTTTTCAATGAATGTACAAATCTCTATCAATGAATTTTTAATGTGGCAGAAGGTGGGAGGAAATCAGCCCATGCATCTTGCTACAGTTTTCCTCTAAAATAAAGGGGAAGTTTAGCTCTGCAGAACATGGTGTAATAAATCTGTCCTTGGTGCCAGTCTAATTGAAACACATTTTACTTTTAAGAAAATATTTTATTTATGAAAAGACTACATGTTAGAAATTTAATATCATACAGAACTGCTTCCAGTGGACTTCCAGATCAGGAAGTTATAATTTATTAATTTAATAGGTCCTTCCTGAACCATAGCCATTAGGCAAGTGGCAGTCCTCATCCGTGATTGCTGCTTTTTCCTCACGACATAAATTATAAATAACCAATAACCTGAAAACAAAATTAATATTTCATCTTCAGCTTATCCAAGCAATGATATGCTCCTTGTTCATCAGCAAATTATATTAAAAAGTAATAAGGAAATATTGTATACAATACTTGTAGATTTTTTTTTATAAAAAATTTCTCAGCCGGTGCTATTTCTACTTTCAGTGATGTAGTAGTAATATTTTTTTTTCTATTCTAGGTCATATCTGCCTGTGGAAAATTCTTCTTTTTCAAAGTAAATTCATATAATACATATAATTTTTAAATGCCTCTTACTTTTCTGTTTATTAGTTTTAGCTTGTACATTAGTTAGAAAAAAAGAAATATGGGTTTGTACTCAACACAGTGGTTTGATCACTTACAAGAACATGAGCAAAAAGACTTTCAGTCTTCTATCTCTGTCCCACTGATGTGGAAATAAATGTGATAAAACAGCCCTCTACTTCACAAACCACATTTTTTGCAAGAATTGTAAATTAACCTGTAAGAATACATCATCCCTCAATTCCTCTCTGCTAAAGGTGGGATGGCAGATGTTTCCTCTAAGCTTCATATTGTATATAAAACCAAGGAAAAGATAATCCCAGGAATTACAGCTATATATTCCTGCACTTCTTCACAGCGGTCAAATTGGCCCTATCCATGGCATTCCCTCTGTTTTTTATGGATATGTGTGTGTGCATGTGTATGTATACATATATATATATTAATATAAAAATATCTGTGTGTGTACATGTGTGTGTGAATAAACATATAATACCATAAACAAATAAATAAAATTATATATATATAATTCTGAAAGTATTCCCCCCAGGCATAACATGAAGCTTTTGTCTTCCCTCTTCCCTCCCTACAGCCTCCCCTTGGATGTCTGGAAGGCCACCCAAACTCATGCACTGGGAAAGCCTCAGCAGAGCCCAGCTCTAAATGCTGGATCTACTGACCCCACAAACAATCTCCAATCACCTTTAACTTGCTTGAAAATCTGAATTATCTGTTCTGCATTGTTTTTTATCCAGAGCTTTACTATATTTTTCAAGCAAAACAGTAATAACCTTAGTTTCAATACTTACATATTTCATTGCAGATTATGTTAAAAAAAAAAAAAGTAATCCTTTCAGTTTTACACAAAGTGAACCTTCTGTGATATTAATAACCTTGAGTAGGATAACATACCTCATTTAGTATCTGAGCTGCATTTTTCACTCTAATCAAATCTGGTGTATCTTCAAACACTGTCATTCCTTTCCCTTTCATCCCTTCTTCCAAATCTTTTCGATATTCTTTCTGAGGATTAAAAAGAGAGAGAGAGAGAGATTTCACCACTTCTTATTTTGTGTGAGATCTTGAAAAGAAATGCCACTTATTAAACATTTGAAGAGTCTCTTTGAAATTTCTATGAAATATGAATCAGCTGAAGTAAAGATTTCAGACTTAAAATAGAATTGGAAATTGTGAAATGAAAAGGAACAATGTTAAAAAAGTAAAAAGATTTCAATATCGTCATCTATATTTTTTGTGCTCCTGAAAACCAGCTGTGTCCTATACAGTACTAGCACGCTGTTTAGGGGCCCTGTCTGTCTCTGGACAGATATTTTCACTGCAGCAGCATTTTCTTTCTGCAGACCAGCAGTGCTGCAGTTTTTACCTCAGTTCCATTAATGGCATCCCAATCAGGATGGATTCCCTAAACACCACACTAGGACCTGGTAAAACAACCTCTTGATAAATTAAAATGTAGAAGCAATATTCCTACCATATCACTCCTGTGCCTCCTGGACCCTGCACTGGTATGATCCATCAACATTCAGCAGCTGCAGCCTCCAGAGTACTCAAATATTCAGTATGAAATTCAAAGCACACTAGAACCTGCCCAGACATTTGGTTCTTTTTGCTCTTTCCAGCTCCTAGAGAGCTGATGTAAGCCTATTGAAGTTCAAGATCTTTACGTTTTGTAAGGAACTTTAATTGCTTTTCACATCTCCAGATAAGGGTTAGGCTTTCTTGGGCAAAGAAAGTAGAAGAACATTGCACAAAATATTTATCAGAATGATTTACATAGGCCTGAATTAATATGTCTAATTACATATTAAGTTTCATAAGCAGCAGTGAGCACCTTCATCTCCCTATAAGCTCTTTATTTAAATAAAAGGAAACCAGATATTTTTAAAGATGCTTCTCTTGATCATAAGAACCATGTCCCGCAACAAGCAGGAAAAAATTTCTTCTAATTTAGAACTATTTAACTCTGAACTATTTAATTCAGTTATCTCTTCTGAATGAGTTGTAAATGTGGTCTCAGAGAAGAAGTTTGTATTGTTATAAAATGTGAAATATTTGCAGAATTCTCTACAGTGGGAAGTCAACAGAATAAGCTGGAACACAGCTGACATTTGGGTAAAAAAAAAAAGTGATGGAACAATTAATTCATTTTTAACTCCAGGTTTTTCTTGTTTCATGCAGTATCTATTCAAAGTTGATTATGAACCATTATGGAAAAACACTGACCTACATCCTTGATTATGAAGAAATACATAATTTTTCTGAATCATGAAAGACAATAATTAATTTTACCTAGGTAATCTTTGGGTTTGGAATACATTCCTTGGATGTGGATATAAAATCATCAGAAATGCATACAGTTATGCATTAATGGAAATACCATTTTCATTTTCTCATTTCCTTCCCCTTTGACTTACAGGCATGGTTTACTCCCTGAATAAGAAGGCATAAAACTTGAGGAGGCCAGAATTAGAGAACATCTTAATGCATTTAGCACTAAGGAGAGGAGCTACATCAAAATGTCAGAGATGAACATGTAGAGCACAAGATAAAAGTGTGCATACAGTACCCACTTTTTTGGGCATTTGGTGAGCAGCAAGATGAACTGAATGAGATGACAGCATGATTTGCATTTTTCCCTAGTGAGAAGGCAGGTACGAGATGTACCACAGAATGACACTGCACTAAACAGACCAAACTTGAGACTTGCCTACCTGACAGTCAGACTTCTCAGAATAAATTATTTATTAGAGGATGAATTATAAAGGAATATCTTAAAAGAATTTTTGTTCTTTAACCATATGAAATCTAGCATGGACTGGAATAAGTTGAATAAGACTGGAATAAGTTGAATAAAGAACAAGGAAAGGAACAAAGTTTAAGGGTTTTTAATTCTAACATGCTTTATTTGTTTTGGCAAAGAAATAAAAGCTATTCTTAATACCATAAATACAAAGTATTGTTGGCTTTCAGATTCAAAGGTAGAACATCTAGTAGCACTGCTCTTCTCTTCTAGCATTTCTAGCTCTTCTAAATTTGGTCAAACAATACTCAAAACCTAACATGAAATCAGTTTTAAATAATAATATAAAAATACTAAAGGTAGAAGGATTCTCAGTTATGGAAAAAAAATTCATTTTTAGTGACATATACAACTGAAGAACATTTCACAAATCTGAAGGAAACAGTAGGCATACAGAAAACCTGTACCTTCTAACAAAATGGACTAAAACAGTTATGTAATACCACATCTCTATTATGGAATTTTGGTCTTCTTCATTTTTTATCCTTAACATGTATGATAGACAATCGTTCTAATAAAGTTAGTTATAATTGACTCTATGCAGTTCAAGGCATCTGTATAACCACAATAGTCTATCATTAATGTGAAATAATTACTCAAAGGGAAAAACTGACATCTGGACACCAGTGGAAATCCTTCCTTCCACTCCTGTATCTATCTGAAAAGAGAAGTGGTAGTCTGGAAGAGGTGTGCTGGACTTTATAATTTCCTTACTACATGACTATTCAGAATACAAAATGATGTGAAGGAATTTTTACTTGGGAAGTGACTTGTATGTAGCTGCCAAGAAAATTTTAAATTATTCAGCACTCAGCAGCTTGTACTGATTCTTCTTATTGCTCATTTACAACTTAACAACTGAAAAAGAATCCTTTACCTCTTTCAAAAGATTAGTGACTTGTTTTATATGCAGGAACTCTGGGGTCTTGTCTAAATCCAGTGAAGGTCTTCCCTTGATCCCTTCTTCAAAATCTCTGCGGTACGTTTTCTATCATAGCAAAACCAACAATTAGTGGTACATACATATGCAATTCCAAGCACATTTCAGGAGAGATATTGTAAACAGACCCAGAAATTAGCCCTGCCATAAATTATATTTCACACTAATAAGCAACTCATTATGCATTTCATTATCTAGTTTATTTATACAAACAGATACAATCTAGACAAAAATATGTGTACAGTATGTCCAAAGAGAATGTTGAACCTGATCTATGAAAGAACCCATTTTCTTGGTAGGGAAAAGGGAAGACAAATGGCACACGAGGTAATGGTTTAAAACTCATTAAAGTTTCTACCAAGTGGCTGAGATCATCTGTTTTCCATGACACAGCAAAACTAATGGAATCAAACTGCAGCATGGGGACACAGGTGCATCCATCTCACTCACGATGGATGGTAATGCACTGGACTAGATTGTCTGGGAAGTCAAGTTAGAAAAACATGACCTGATATAAGACAGCCAGTGCTGTTTTGGAGCCTGGGAACAGTCCCTCCTCCTTGATGAGTTTCCCAGGCTGGAAAGGCAGGAGGATGTTTCAGCTAAATCATGGGGTTGGACTGGATTTTGTGGCTTCACTTGCTCCCACATAAGAACTATCCCTCTCCTAAAGATGGAATTCAAGTGAAAATTTCAAAAGTTATTAATTTCTGATCTAGATGACCTATTGAGCTTCTTCTCAATTAAATGATGTGTGTGTGTTGTTAGTACCGATGGCCTTTTGAGAAAAAAGCAAATGCACAAGAAGAACAGAACTACAGAACAGCAGAGATAACTACTAAGTATAACTGCCATATCCACAATTTACTCTCTGCTTCGTACATTTTCTTAACCTGAGTACAAGATGTCTGCTGACTTCTCTGTTGATCTAAATTTTACTTGTTCAAAAAGTACATTTTTACTTACCTCACTTTGCATCTTTTGAGCCTCCTTTGAAACTTGATACATTGGAGTATCCACAAACTCCAGCATTGATCTGCCTTTAGATTTTTCATAATTTTCTTTGTATTTGACCTAGTAAAATTAAAATAAAGTCTGTTAACAGCTGAGAGAATATGAGATGTGATTGCTTGCCTTGGCAAGAAACACATCCTGTCTTAGCCATACTCCCTTAGATGTTTTGACTTGGAAGACTTCTCTCAAACCTAACCTGTTGGTCAGTTAGATAAGGTAATATGTTTTGGAGTCATTTACTCCTTTTCTACACCATTCAGACCTAGAAATTGTGAACTTTGAAGACAACAGGAATAAGGAGCATCAAATACAATCCTTAAACCAATTGCATGGGTTTGGTCAAATGACCTATGTCTGAACACTTGTCAGCTTTTTAATGGGATCCCCTGCTGTTTCCATAAAACAACACATTTACTGTAACAACAACAAAATCTGTTTCACAGCCAGGCCCCACAGGTCTTAGTTCCAGGCTCAAAAGTACCACTCTCAAATGCACTTCTGTTTGTACCTGTGGGAAGGAGAAGGGAAGGAAAACTACTGCTTTGGTAGGGCCCTGCCCTGCACCAACACTCCCCTCACATCTACCAGGGACCATGACCTTAGAGCTGGCAGCAAAATCACAGTGAAGGACACAGGGTTAAGACATCAACTTATTCCTTTATGCTAACTTACAAAGGAAATACACTTTGTTTGGAAACCTGGAGAACCCTTCTGAACTCATTCATTCACGCTCTTGATTAAGACTGGCAAACACATTACTTATCTCCATCAGTCACTGTGGGGCATGATGGAATAGTTACACAAGCCTTAAAGGAAAGCAAACAGCTGCAAATCAAAATATTACATTTTTAGTGACTAATGTAATTTTAATTTCTATGTCTCTTCAAAAATAGCAATGTCTGAATTTCTCTTTCCTTGTCAGGCTTCTGTATTAGGCTTGGGTCCTGCAAAAATACTCTCCTCTCTCCTCATGGGGTGCTTCTGATTGAATATGCACTGTACATCACTGAAATCTATTATGTGGCTTTGTGCATGATTCAATCACCGTTAAACGCTGCATTTCTCTCTTTTCAAGATATGTTTATTTGTGGTTGTGTACACCTGGCTTTGAAATACTGCATTTTCTTTGAAATTGATTGGTTCTGCAGTGTCTGGGCTGAAATTAGAGAAACAATTGCTTTGCTTAAATGATTTATTCTATTCATATTGAAATTTAAAAATTCCGAAAATATTTTCATAGGCAAAATCCAGAAGGTTTTGAAATTGAAATACTACTTAAAATACTGTGAAAGAAAAAACATAGAAGAAAGAAACTATACCTACAAACTGGGGAGTTTTATCAAATGTGAATTTAAAATATTGTGATGAAATTAAAAAAAAGGTTATGATAAAAAATAGCTTTTGTACATTCCTAGGGAAAATATTTTTTCTGCTAATCTAAAAGTCAGATGTTTTTATGTTTCATAGAAAATAAACATTGTTATTTACATCTGAAGTGCAAAGGAACACATATGATGGTCTGGGTTTGCCTCCTAGTGGAAAGAACTTTAAATGTCACACAATAAAATCACTTCAGTAGTGGAAACAAAATTGCCTCCATCTACAAACACTTATCTCATACTTTTACTCCATTCCTCAGCTAAGGGAAGAAAATTTTTAAGACATTCTATAAAATCAACTTAGTTAAGCTCGTAACTTTTTGCTACATTAAGCTAAACTACAAGCACCAGATTCAGTCTCTGAAGTTCTGTTTATTCACCCTGTTTATTAAAATGAAATACATCTAAGTTCCCCCTTTTTTACCCTGAATTTCATCAGTATCTGAAAGTCTCCACAATAGGAACAGATTTAAAATGTGAAAAATGTTAAACTAGCTGTTCTACATATATCAAATTGTCAAATTTTGTGTTTCTATAGTTCATAACAGAATTACATATATATCTGTCATGGTTTAACCACAGCCAGCCACACAACTGCTCACACACTTTACCCGAGTAGGATGGGTAGAGAATCAGAAGGGTAAAAGTGAGAAAATCTGTGGTTTGAGACAAGACAAGTTAAATCATTTAAATAAAATAAGCTATAATAATAAGAAACAGTAATAAAAGGAAAATAACAAAAAAGAGGGAGAAATAAAGCTCAAGGAGAAAAAAAACAAACAAACAAAAAAAAAAGAAGATGTAAATGAAAAAAAGTCACTCATCACCAACCTATCAATGCTCAGCCTGTCCCTGAGAATGCAGGGAAGGAGCCCCTAGCCAACTTTCCCCCAGTTTACATACTGAGAATGACACTATATGGTGTGGAACATCCCTGTGGCCAGTTTGGGTCAGCTCTCCTGGCTGACCCTGTGTCCTCTCCCAGCTTCTCATGCACCACCAGCCACCCCAATGGCAGGGCTGCATAAGAAGCTGAAAAGTTCTTGACTTAGTGCAAGCACTGCTCAGCAACAGCTGAACAACCAGTGTGTTATCAACATTGATTCCATCCTAAATCCAGAACACAGCACTGCACCAGCTACTAGGAAGAAAATTAACTCCATCCCAAGTGAAACCAGGAAATACAGTATGAAGGGAGAAGTCTACCTTGTAATTTTCTTCCTCAACACAATAATAAAACCAAGATGAGTTTGACCTGTTCAAATCAGTTTATTTATGTCCAAAGATGCCCATCAAGCTTTCCTCCTAACTGTTGGCATTTATTCCCATGGAAGTTGACTTGTATAACACCCTTGCATTGAAATTACAGTGTAAGTGCTTTATAAAGTGCACACACTTCTACACTTCAGGTCAATAAGCAAAACCACTCATTCAATCAACAATATCAGTTTATGAGTTTAATTTACCATATAGGCTTCAATGGAGAAAGGTATACTGCAGGGAAACAGAAAAATCAGGCAATTACCAACCAGCTCTGTTTCAGAAGGGGAAAGAAAAAAAAACCAAACAAAAATTAAAAAAAAAAAAAGAAAAAGAAAAGAAGAAAGAAAAAGAAAACAGTCTTTGGAAATCAGTTAACACAGGGAATAAGTCAGTTAGACTGTTTTTTACAATGGCGGCAGATTACAAAACAGATTTGGTATGAGCTGTGGAGAGCTAAGGAGAACACAAGCAATGTACTGGAGAAAGGCAGAAGAATAAACTGTGTTTAAATAAAAGTGATGACATGGGGAGGTCAAACCTGAGAAGGACTGTAAAAATGGGATTTCTTTAAAAGACAACTATTTAGTGGAGAGCTTAGGGATTGACAAAGCATTTCTCTTCTTGTACAAAATAAAAATACCCTCCAGGATCTGGACAATGTAAAAATCATAGGTTTAGTATTTACAGAGTTGCCAGACAAGCGCATGGACATTATGAACCAACCCCTCCAGGACAAAAGAAAGAAATACATTTTGCAAGATGTGATCTGCCTCAAGGGAAAGTCCAGGTTTCTAAATCCTTAGAGCTAAGATGATAAACTGATGAAGTCCATTGACTGAGATGGACTCATTTAATCAGCAAAAAAGACTGCCAATCTTACCATACGCTAGAAGGAAACTAGATTTGGGCCAAAAAGTGCATGAAGAATGCAGGCAGAAAAAGACTACAACTCATTCATTACTCATACAAAAGGGGATAGTCAGTGTTACCTTCACAGAGGGAGTAAGACAGACAAAAAGAAAAAAAAAAGCTTCAATTCTCAAAAAAAAAAAACCACACAAAAATCAAATATAGATGGATTATTTTGATTATTTTAGACATAAGCAGGCACTGACTCAAAAGATGACCCAGTGTGCTCCTACTCATGAGAGTTAATTGTCTATGAAACACTCAACTCCTGCCAACCATAGAGCAAGTTTCCTTCCTTCCCAACACCACCCACTCGTGCCTCTCTGCAGTAGTTCTGCAGGACTGCTGTGTTTTCTGGAGTAAAAATAGCAAATGCAGCTACCCAGCTAGCAGACATGCAGCATAGGTGCTCTTGAAGTGGGAAAGAACCTTCATCATAGCACAGGAGCCAAGAGTTTCCTAGCTCTTCCTTCCTACTTCAACTCCCACTAGGATCATGTATCAGACCACCAGCCCCATCAAGGGCCATGTCTTGCTACATGGCAGAATGGAGCACGTGCCTATTTATCTGACACAGTGCAGGAAGAGTCAGAAAGAGTCAGACAGTCCGGAGGAGAAAAAGTTTAGCCAGAGAAGCCCAGAAGTAAGCTAAGACTCCAGAGGCCATTCATGAAAAAAGTCCAAATATGAAACTAGCACAATGGCCACTTCTGTACAGACACTTGCAGATGACAGCAAGATCTTATGCAAAATGAGATTTGCAAGGAAAGAAGTATTTTAGGTCTTAGAACAAAGAGAAAAACAGTCAATGTTTCAGACATATGAAAAGAAGCACTCAACATCAGAAGTCTGTGTGATTTTTCCACAGTATATATTATCTGTTCTAATAACTGAAATATGTCTTCATAAAAACCTGTTTTTCTTCACTACTCCTCTCATCTACTACAGTTACAACACTATTTCCCACTATATTTGAGAGCAAAAATGTGTTTCCTACCATGACTATACATAGCACATTCCTTACTAGATTTATTTTTCAGGTCGTTCTTAAAAAGGCAACTTACATCACTCTGTGTTTTGCTGATATATAAAGCATGGTTTAAATGCAGCAGGTTTGGTAGATCAGATGCTGGATCATGTAGGCTTTCCAAATCTTTCTTGTAGTTCACCTGGAAAGAAAATTCATGTTATGCAAACTAAAGATTAATAAAATAATTCACAGTTCTGTATTACAGTGTGACCATTCAGAAAGACAAAACATGAAGTGCTTGCCTGAACAATCTCTCCCAGCCACTAGATGGTGGTCATCTACTACTATTTCAAAGAAAAGGAAAGACCAATGTAGGACTCATTCTGCTGAGTAAGTACTTAGGAACTACTCAAACTTTTCCTCCAAGCAAGGACATTTTCAACAAAATCACACTTTCTATCACTTTTCAGGCTAGAATTAATTTTCTTCTATTTTCCTCTCCCCTCCCTTCCCACCCTCTACTTAAATCAAGAATGTCTTCCTCAACACTTTGGGTCTATTCATTCTAAACACCTTTAATTCTTATTAGAATTAAAGAATTAGAATTCTTATCAGGAATCACACCATCCAATTTAGAAGTTTGATATATTGCAGTTAAAGGGAAGGGTTCCTGGACACTTTATCCAATATAGATTGCTTGCAGCAAATATAAGTCATATGGGGGCCTAAGGCAAAAGATAATTACTTAATGAAGTAGCAGAAAGTAACATCCCATCAACCTACAGTAGGATTTTCCATTCTTCTGAGAATGGAAAACCTGTAGAGCTGAAGATCTGTATGTGCAACTTTACAGGAAGAAAACTAGCTACCTTACCTATCTTGGATGAGAAATCTTTTCAACTAATACCTTTAGTCATTTCCACACATGTATCATGTTCCTCACTTCAATTTGCCCATTTCTTATAATGAGAACTGCTTCAACTGATTTTTTACTACATATTTAGATTTTGGAAATAATTACATAATCTTCTGTACGCTTCCCAGAGCCAGTCTTTCCTGTTCCAATTGCATGGTACCTCACACTTCAGAAATGCTGGACTACAGAAAGAAGGCTTGTCTTTTGGCTCTCTGGGATCACAGCCTCAAAAAGGAGATGGCATTTTTAGCATTAAACATACTTTTAAATATATCATCCCAAGAGCACTATCACTCAATATAGATGTTTTCTCCAGTCTGCCTCCAGCAGCAGCCACCCATTGCTGAACCTAGTGACTGCTGTATTTGGTAGTGCCATTGAGAAGATCAACCAGAAGAATGAAGTCTAAAACACAGACATCCAAATCTGAACTGCTCATGTAACCTCCTTCTATAACCATTGGAGAGATGACAAAACTTTGCTCCTCTAAAGACAGGCACCTCTAACAGGTGAGAAGAATTGACCTCTAGACCTGTTTATTTCTTTCTGAATAAAAAGGACCAAGTACAAGGCAATTAGCTCAGAGTAAGAGGTCACACCTTTTGACAAACAAAATTAGGCGAGACGAATCTTATCTAAAATGGTTATGAAAAACTCTTCAGGCCCTCAGTCAGAAGCAGAGGAAGAAATTAGTAACATGCTGTACCTGCTACACACTGTATAGCAGACACTGTAGCTCAGAGGAATTCATAAGATGAAAAAAATAAATTCTACCTGTGAAGAAACGTTAGATTATTCAGCATGTAAATGCACATAAAATACAAAGCAAATTAACTTACATCACTTGCCAAGGAGGATGCAATCTGTGCTTGCTTGAAGGAAGCACAGTCAAGAGGATTGTACTGGTGACTCTTCATTTCCTTACTGAACTTCTCTTTGTATTTTACCTTTCAACAGAACAAACATGTCTGATATTAACATGTAGCACTTAAAACAGGCAGAGAATTCAGACTACAAAGAAGCTTATTAAATGCAATTACTTTATTCATAAACCTTTAAACAAAATTTAAAGAAACTCAGTTTACCCATACCTGTGACAGTCTTGTGTTGGTTTCAAATTAAGTTTTATGTATCTGATGTTTACTAAAATTTAATTTAATTTAAGATTGTGATATGTGATTACTGGTGTGGAGGGACTCATAAAAAGAAAACAGAAACAAGATCATATCACTCACATGAGTAATCAAATAGAACTCTCTGACCAGCAATAATAATTAGCCACTAAGATTCATTCAATTCACAATTAACATCAAAACTGTGGTTTTAACAAAAAAAAAAAAAAAAAAAAAAAAGTCTAAGGTGAATAAATCGTAACATTTGTAAGACAAATCACTTGTACATTTTTCAGCCACCTGAAAGTAGGAAGTCAGAATCAAATTTCCCACCACCAGGTCATGTCACTCTCACTATGCTAGAGTGCCACCAGTACTGCCAGGTCTTTTTTTTAATTTTGCCAGAAATTTCCCAGAGGACACTGAGGAATCCCTCTGTAGTACAGTCCTTTCTTGGGGATAATGTCCACCTCATTACTGTGCTGGAAAGCATAATTAAATTACTGCCTGCCTTCACCTTCACCATCTTTTTCTTCTCGTTCAAAAGAAAAAGGGGGAATGACAATACTTGTAAGAGGAAACAGCCATACATAAATATGGAGACAATGGCACTAAAAGTAAATAAGTCACAAAAATTCCATAAAACATGCTGAAAAACTGAATTCAGAATTTGAAAATATGAAATTGAACAAACAGAATATCTCCCTCCTTTTCTCCCTTTGTGAGAGATCATCCAACATCTGGAGACTCTGAACACATGTCTGCTTCTTTCCAACAGCTGGGCATAATGGAGGAGAATAAAGTTCAGTCTGACTTATGCTGCTTTCATGAATTTTAGGCAGACACCTGATATCTGAGCCTATGCAACATCCATTATAATTTACCACGCTCTGCACTAAATAAATACATGGATTCTTCCCCACTCCTTTTTTCTCTATTCCCACATGAATGTCTGATAAAGTGGTTAAGCCACCTCAAACAATCTTCAGTTTTTTTCCCCAGCCTTAGTTGTGGGAAGAGGCTTTTTTTTTTCCTTTTCAGTTCTTCCTTGCCTCAATAGACCCTCAACATGATTCAGCTTATGCAACTTCATTATCTTTACCCACAATGTCCACTATTTCATTAATCAGGATAACAAGAAACCAAAACTAAGCTACACAAACAGGAACCAGCCATATATGTTCAAGCACTATATTATTATTCCAGCACTTAGTTAATTTTTAGAAGTAAGGGAATTCTAAAACATTGTTACTTTTAAAGAGAAACTTTATCTAAACACATGATGAACTTCATAATTTTTCACACTAACAGCAGAAGAGAGTATCTATTGCCTTTTGGTATATTCATCTGGTTTATATTGTTTGATATTTGCCTTGGCATTGGATCAAGTGCAAAAGCATTTATCTGAATACAAAAGAAAATCCATGCTCTGTATAACCAGTGAAGGAATAAATCAGAGTGCTCTTCTCTCTTAAAAGGTGTATCCAAAATTTGCCTTCTAATGAAAATCAGGCAGTGCTATAATATGCCATTCAAAAAGCCAGAGATCAAGATAGCAGGGTGAGCAAAACTGTCTTTTACTCCTTTATCCACATGACAACAACACCAAGCATAAGACTAAAAAACCCAACTACTGCAGGCTGCCTTCTCCTGGCCAATAAATGCCACAAACAGTGCACACAGACCAAATGCACAACATGGTATGGAAATTCTTGTTAAGTGGGAAAGCGTTGGTGCCAAAGGGACCTCTGCTCACAACTGGCTTACCATCTTCCAGCTGCAGTCATTTCATGCCATCATTAAAAAATTTTTAGCAGTACATTTCAATCCACAGGTTCCTGTAATAGACCCTCTTTAGAGTCACTTCTGATCACACTGCTGCCACTGAAGGACAGAGGGGGGACCAGTGAACCCACTCTTCACAGGGCCCCATGTCCTAATGTGCGGGAGGGTTTCAAAACTAAAGGAATCCCCTAATCACAGTGAGTGTAAATGTTCTGGTTGCAGCAGGGCTGTCTCATAGCCCCAGGCCCTGCTGCCTGCCCTGGCTGCTCAGCTCATTGCCTTTGCTCCCCTCTCCATCACACAGGTCACTCTGAGCAAAGCGGAGCACAGCAGCAATATCAGACAACCCTGGCAGTGTCTCCAGAGCACTTCCAGCAGCCATTTAACTGACCTGCCATAGGGGATTTGTTGCATTGACAGCTATGTAGATGTATACTTTCTCTTTTAACAACATTTTTCTGGTTCTTTCTCCCTTTTGAAAGGAAGCGTGGGGTGGGAGAGAGTGAAGAAAGAAGAGCAAGCCCATGGATGAGTCATGGTTGAGGAAACCACGCAGAATTCATCATCCTTTTGAACAGGGTAAATGCAGTTTAAAGAGAGGAAACATGCCTGAGAGAAAGGGTTCTGAATAAAAACAAGGAAGAGAAATACCTCATATAATTTCTAAACCATCTGAAGGGGGGAGGTCTTAGCAAGGCTATAATATGGTGAAGGAGCAAACAAGTGGGAGTAGAATTGACAGTTGTTAGTGGACACTTATCTACAAATTTCATCATTAACCAAGAGCTTTACTTTCATGAGGACATAAAAGGACAGTTACTTGTTTACCATCTTCATTAAAGTCTTAAGTTTGTTTATTTTTTTAGAGATTATATGGTGGGGGTTAATTTAAAAGAAATGCGTGGAGGTTGCTCTCTAAAGACTGCTTAAGAAAGAGCAGACTCTGCAGCCTTTTATCACAACAAAATCCCTGAAAAACCAAACTGGAATTAAATAAGGCCTGGATAAACAAACTTCTCATCGGCCTTGCACAAAACCTATAAAAGTCAGAATTGCAGCTGGACAGAGCAGTGTCTTTTGAAGCTTAGCAGCAACATTCCTAAATCAAATCTGTAGTTCAAAGCTGTTCACACAGGGAGTGTTCAGTTTCAGAAGTGGATGACATCACCCACTGTTCAGATTTACAAAGAAACTACAAAAATTGAATCATTCAACCACTGGGATCCCATGATGAAGCAGACACTTGCAGCTAAAGCATTTCCTCATGACCATATGAAACCATCTTTAAAAAGGGAAAAAACCTGTCAGAGCACATATATATTGAAGGAAATGTAGCATAAACAAAGAGCAAAATTGAAACATGCATTGCTAAAAGCACTAGCAGAGTTTAAGGCAAAGAAAGACTGAGAAAATTCTAGGCTCTTTGGGTTGTTACTGAAAATCTCAAAGAAGGTGCATTTTGAAAAACATTCTACCTCTAACAATTTTATCCTTAAAACAATAAGCACCAGATTCAGCAACAAATATGAATATCCAAAATTATTTATCTTAAAACCAGTTACTGAACACCATAAGAGGAATACTTCATATCAGCAGCTCTTTGAAAAAGCTAATAAAATGCATTAAAAACATAAAGAAGGCATGAACAAGAGCTTGTTTTAATTAAAAAATAGAAAAAAAATAGCCCAAATTATACAATGCACACTCGGCAAATTGACAAGCTCCATGTTTTCACAAGGGCTAACACAGTTTCTGTTTTAAATTTCATTTAAAATCAACAGAAAAGGGTTACCACATGCTGTGGGTAAATATACTAGTTCTGGGAGCTATTATTTTTGCTGCTGTTGTTGTCAAAAGCTTTGTTAAATAAAAAATTAAAAGGAAAGAAAGGAGAGAGAGAGAAAACAGTGATTTCTGTAGAGCCTTGAGTGCCAGTCAAACATTAACACTATTTTCTTCGCTTTGTTTGCTTTCCTGCTTGCCTTGATTGCTTTCTCCCTTCGTTACACCCACACTGCCTGACCTCTTCTTGCTCCTGTTCTCTATACTCCCTAAATTACCTACCCATATGCACCACATTAAAACATGTTATCATCTTCTCTTCCCATTACATCCATCAGAATTGTCAACTTTGCAAATTTACTGTGAGGGTCAAATAACTAATATTTCTCTGCATGTCGCAGCTTATAGATTCATGCAATTAAGGGAAATTATCAACTTTCAACACAAAAAGTTTATGATCTTCCCATTTTCTGAGAAACAAATGGAAACTCTAAAAGCCAGAAAGTCTGGAGACAATAAAGAGATCATTAACTTTACTATTTTTATATTTTGTGTTACAAACCTGTTTCATGATCCTTGCATGAAGAGGACTGAAATGACTGACCTGTATTGAGGTCTCTTTCTCTCCTCTAGCACAGGTGCATTCCTCGTCCTGCCCCACCACCCTGCTCTTTGGACACAGGGGTCATCCTCATTTTTCTGTGCTCTTGATTTATGATTAGTGTGTCCAAGTGTTATAATGATTCAAAAAATATATAAGAACATTAGACAACTCATGGCCACTGCCTTCCCTTCAGAGGACGTGGGGGAATTGCTGAGTGCACCTCCCTGCTGCTGAGAACTGCCCAGCATTTGCACCCTCCACCCTCCAGTGTCAGGCTGAGGTGCTGTCCCCCTTCTGAAAGCACAGTCCCCATCACACACACTGCAAAGCAGCAACAGCAGCTTAGACTGAGGAGAGAAACATGCAGGAAAGGATCCCAAAACTTGGATCCAGGGCCAGTGACTGCAGAATTCGGACCACCAAGGTTTAATAAGAATCTTCTTTACAAATAAACCAAACATAAGATAGATTTTTTTCACCTTCTCCCTTCCCGTCACACCTTCTGCATTATTTGGACTCTCTAAAGAAGTTAAAATTGCACAGTGAATGCTGCCTTCCACAGAAGATCTAAACTAGAACTGCTGCCATCCCAGTTCCTGGCAGTGAAGAGGCCCTATTATAAAGCATTTGCAGATGCAGCTTGCATTGTCCAAGATAAAAAGCACATCTAATAAAACTGAGACAAAATGTGCATTGATGAAGCCTTCCACGTAGCTGGCTCAGCAGCCTGCAGGACCCCATGATCCAGCTGATATTTTTCACTTGTGATTGTTGGCCACAATCTCATGGGTACCAGGCTTGGGAAGATGGAGAGGGCTTTTGGAAAAGGTTACAGCTTGGTCTCATTGGCAAAAACAGGCAGCTGCAAGCTCAAAGGAGTGAGCTGCAAGGACAGGAGGGTGTAGGCAGCCATTGAGTAGATGTAAAGGACATTACACACTAAATTTGGATATGGACCCGTTTAAAAACCATTGAACATGTTTGCTAAATGACAGTCCCATTTCCTGTAAGTGACACTCAGGTCTGAGCAGCATCACAGTGGCTCTTGCTAGAAAGTACAGGCTGACTTCCAAGCCTGCACAATGCTAAACACAAAATAATCTCTTAGCAGACTTTCCCATCAGCAGAGAAATGAGAATATGATCCACTACAAAATAGAAGACAGAAATCTATTTGAAAAACACAAACTCATTTTGATTCTGGGCACATCACCAACAAAGCAATAAAAAATATTTATTTCCTTCTTTTTCTCCTTGTGTAATACTTCAAAGTTTACAATGGTGTGAATGGAGCAGGTATCTAAGGATAACAGCAAAAGGAGCTCTACCTCCTGCAGACACTGCACTGTTTTTCAGCTTGTTCTCTATGACACATTATTCTCATTTTATGCTAGTTCTAGGGAAGACATTGAGTATCTGGCCAAATCACAGGTATTTTTTACATATCACTGATATTGAGACTGTCCTGGAATATACACTATTTACACTTGAAAGGTTTTTTGGCTCTGAGAAGGCTGACACAGCCTTCTTCAATCAAAGGGCACTATCCTCCTCTTACAGGAGGGCAGTTCCTGGGTTTTCAAAAGCTCCAAGGGTAGCTGGACAGGATTACTAGCAGGGATTATGCAAGGCACTGTTAAAGAACTACTTGAGACAAAAAAGGGAGGGGTAAAGGAAAAAAATCCCCCAAAAAACAGATCAGCAGTGAAAAATCTGTTCTCACAATGTCAAGATGATCTGTAGTAGAGATCTTACGTGTACATCTTATGAGTAGAAAATTACTAAGACAAAGAAGGAATATTTCTATTTCAGATTTCTTTTTAGTTAAGGCCTTTTTTTTTTTAGGTTAATATATAACAGTAGTACATAAAAGGTTCAGTTTCAGGGGGAAGGAAGGCGGATGGTTTACATGTCAGGCCAAATTCAGATCCCATTACTCACATTAGCAAGCAGCTACACAAAAGACCTCAGTTACTTCAGTGGGATTAATCACAGAGTAAGGTTCCACTCAAACTAAATGAGGAGCAAAATTTGCCTCTAAATTACATACAGCTAATATTTTAGAAATCCTAGAAAATCTGTATAAATATACACCATCTCCACAAGAGAAAAGTTGTAGTCAAAGTTCATCGTATTTTTGCTTCAAAATGTGCATTTGGTTTCCTAAGAATCCAAAATTTACCAGTCATTGCAATGTTAAATGAAAAGTTTGAGAACATAATCTTCAAGGCCATTAGAGATAATCATCTAAAAATCTAAGCATTTCTTTGCATTACTAGGAATGAGATATTTGGATTAAATCATTGTAAAATGATGGAGAATCTTACTTGGCTTAAAAGTTTTGAAACTCCTTTAGCATGTTCAAAATCAGGTCTTCCAAGCACAGCAGACTCCTTATTCAGCTCTCCCCTTCCTTTCTTGTACTTTGCCTTAAAAATTTAAAAAAAAAAAAAAATTGGGGGGGGGGGATAAGAATCACTAATAATTTGTTTGGGTTTCTTTTATCAAGAGAAATGTAAGCATTAAAGCTGGAAGAAAAAGTCTCACATAATGGTCTGCATTGACACTACTGTTCTAATCAGCTCTGAGTAAAGCCCTTTCAGGGTTCAGCTCCTTAACAATACAATATTTATTAATTGTAAAACACAATGTGCAGCATTCACAAAACTCAATTTTAACCAAATGCACAGCTTCAGCCAGAGAAATACTGTCCTCCCGATCAAGGCAGCATGAGTCACAGTGGCTCAGCATTTCTTATGACAGAGTCTACAGTTAACCCAAGATGATTTGCAGCAGCTGAAAGTAGTCTTGAAATAAAACTAGTCTGAGGGGCAACTTTTTTGAACTGTGAGGTCAAATTCTGCTCTCGCTTTTAGCACTGCGGTCTCGCTGGATGTCAGTGAGACTGCGCTGGTGTCACAGAGCTGAATTAGTCCCGCAAGGTTAATGTTACCTGATCTCTGCAGCTGAACTGCCTGCCATGCAAACTGCTGCAATTTTTCCCCACAATGCATCAGAAAAAACACAGATGAATCAACAATAGGTGCTTTGCAATGCCATAACCCAAATTACCCATTGCCTAGAACAGACTTCTTGCATTACTCAAGCACTGTGAATCAGCAAGGACACATCATAAGAATAGACTGGAAGAAATAAAAGTCCCAAAGCCACTCTAATTCTAAGAGCACTTGAACAGCAATTAGTAAATTTGAATGCTGTAGAACACTTAGTAGAAGTTCTTGGTTTTCAAAAAATCTTGAATATTGAAAGGTGAATTTCAATCTCTTAAATCTGTCTCTCCAAATGTGCCCAGTCAGTCTCACATTTAATTAACTACTTAAAAACTTGACTCAGTGCTTTAAGTATATATATTGTTTGCCTTGTCTACAATACAATACTGAACTGCATCACACACTGCTGCTTCCTAAAGTGCTCCTTCACCTGTCTGTTAGCCAAAGCCACAGTGGAAGGGCAAAGAATTTGAGAGGGAGTTCAGGGAGGAGAGCCCCCATGAAAGAAGCAGCATCTGAACAGCTCTTGGAAGGACAGAAGGGAATTACATTTTCCTGTCACTCATGGATGAGATGGGAAAAGGAAGGGGTATACTGGGATGCCAGTTTCTCTTATACCAAGGTAAAAAAAGGATTGGGATGTCTTCTGAACTGCAGTATAGCATACAAGCACATGACTTATCTTGAGAATGGTTATCACAAATAAAGCTGAAACAAAACCAACTTTAACAATTTTCATGTTGTCCTTACATCAATTACCAATGATTCAAAGATCATACTGTCAACACCTAAAAAGGAGAAAACCATAGCTTTCTAGCCTGCCGGGCAAGACTGGTTTGTTTTGGTTATGTTTGGATTTCATTTAATCAAATCTCCCTAGCAGATTTGTGGGTGCACATTTTCTGTTCAAAACATCTGAGAATTCCAGTAGCATTCTAAAAAAAATCTGATCAAAATTGGGGAAAAAAAAATACATATCTAAAAAATAGAAAGAGAATAAAAGGAGAACATACATCACTTATTATCTTTGTTATCTCAGTTGCCTTCTTTATGTCTGGTCTGTTCAGCACTTCAGTGTACCTATGAGTATCTTGCACATCCTTCTTATAAGATACCTGTCAAAGAAAACATAGTTTTGTTTAAAATAAACAATAAAGTTTGAAGTCTACATATAAGCTTTGAATGACTGGTCAAATCAGACATCAAACTAAAGAGAACTACACCTAATTTATTCCAACAGAGTTCTGCTTGACAGGGACTGTAAGGTAAGACCCACACACAAGGCAACATGATAAGGAAAAAATTCAGAAGCATAAAATACAATTTGAAAAAGAAAACTAGTTTTGCTTAGAAGCACAGTGGAAAATTAAAAGCATTGCAAAGACACAAATATTAGGTTTTACCATAAAATTTCACAGGACTTTTAAGAGTATAGGGTTTTTTTTTACTGTGTTGTACCCATTTTTAATATAAATTAGCTCCTCCTCTGATACTGAGTACTGCAGCTCAGCAGATTGCAGCTACACTGAAGAGAAACTGTAATTCTGTCATAATGAGTTTCTTTGTCAGTACTAGACAGACATGTAGCTCATATGGAATTCAATGATACAACTCCACCCCAGCATCCCCACAACGCCACTTACTTGCTCCTTTGCACAGTTATGGGAACAAGAAGGCTGAGTGTTCCAGCATTCTGAGTACACAATTGACTCTTTCTGTTTGTGCAAAGTCACAACCCAAATGAATGGGCTCAGAAACCTTTGGCCAGAAGGCTCAACCACAGATAGGAGAGTCCAAATATCCTCCATTTAGCAAAGCAATCACAGGAGCAGCACAGACCTCAGGGACATCATAGAGCTCCATAAGTTATACTGGTTTTCCCTCTTCAAGGTTTGTCCACTTCTTCCTGCCCTAGCACATGTGCCAATTTAAGCCAATTTCCAAGGGCTGTCTTATTGAATTATTCTTAATGACATTCTGTTCCTGGCATTCAAAAGTGTCTGACAAATTGAAGTTTCAGGCAGAAGTTGGAGAACATAAAGTTTAGAGGAAATAGAAAGTAAAAAAATATTTCATCCTTTACTGGGAAATCTTTGCTTCACAAAGTTAATCAACCTCTCAAGATAGTATTTCATCAGCAAGAAAGTTCTCAGCTTGAAGTTTCTTATTGTAACCTCTGCTCCTACTTCCAATGTAAAGTTTCACTCTGGGTACAATGCAACAAACTCATAAACTGCAGTAGTCAGTGACAAATATACTTCATAGAAACGGTATTGCAAAAAGAAAAGGAAAAAAATTCACTTTTTGGCAAATATCTTATATGCAACAGGAAAGTAATTTTGTGTCCATATGGCTTCAGCTAAGCAGACAAGCTAAACAGGCTTCACTGTTGGCTGCCTGCCCACAAATAGATCTTATAATTTTTAATCTGCCCTGACACACTAGTGTAATCACTAATAAAAAAACAAATAAATAGGTTTGATGCATTCAGCCCAAATTATCACATACATACAAAACAAAAGTTGATTCTTCCAGTTGGTGTAAACCACTGGAACTTTTGTTTTAGTTATGTTTAGATTTTCTCTAATTTTTAAGAAACTAGAGGTATAGAGAAGCATTTGCAATTCAGGACTTTACATGAATTTAGCTAATTATATGCTGTTCATCCTAATGACCACATGAGGTGAGGTGAAAACCACAAAGGCAGCAGAAACAGGTTTCTGAATAGCACCCTATGATCCATGTAAATTGCAAATTAAGGGCCAGCATATGTGCTCAAAATAGAAATTAGGAATGTAGTGAATTTAACATCAGAGAATCAAGAACAGTGGTGATAAAGTTGAGGAAATGTGGTCACTTATTGCTCCCAAATGACATGATCATATAGTACATGAAATAATGGATTGTGGTTAATTTCGGGGAAAGGAAGGGGGGGAGAAATAAGACAGTGACAGTCCTTTATATTTCACCATTTCCAATTATATTAGATGCAAGGCCAATTGCTATATCTTTCCCTGAGTGAATTATTATTCTTCCTGCACCTAAACCAGTATACCTATTACTTATGTCTGAGGGAAAGTCATCTAGCATTTTACAAATGTCTGCAATATATATTTGCTCCATTCTGCAGCTTGTCATACTCCAGTGAGAATAAAAATGTTATGCAGCAGAACAGTAGTTTGTCAGAGGTAGGCCAAAGAAAGAAAAAATATGTTTCCCATTTCCTGAATAACCTCAATCCCTGGATGCTGACCCTCTCCCATTGGGACACTCTGCTGGCCTCTATTACACAGCTGCTATTCTGTTCCATCTAGTGATTTTTTTTTTTAATAGTGCTATGTTAGAACAGTAAAACCAGAGCTATTCTGTGAGAGAAGGGGAACAGATGTAGACAGGGAAAAGCAACCAGCTTGGTGTGTGCACCCATGGGCATCAGAAGATGGAAACTGAAGAAGCCCATGAGGGAGGAAAAGCAACAAAAGAAAGGAAACAGCAGAAGCACCCAGAGAAGGAGCCATCTTTTTCCTGAGCTAGTTCAGCCAAAAGGCTCATACCCTGACTGGAATTTCCAGTCATTACACAATTTCCTTACTCAATCTTCACTTCAAAGGATTGCTCAGGCTCTACCAAAAAAACAATCAGCAAAGGCTCAAGAATTGCTCCACTTCACGAGGACCACAGTATACAAAAAAATTGTTCCAGCTGAATCTTGCATAGGAAAAGTAATTGAGATAACAATTTTAGAGCAGCAGTGAAAGACCTAGATGGAGAGTTATGGCCAACCAGTGGGAAATGCAAGCAAGGAAGAAGGAGCAACTAAAAAGGAAAAAAAATGTACCATCTTGAGTTTTGAAGCTGAAAACATTAAATTACAGATACTAACTAAATTTAAAACTGGTTTCTACCCAGTTTGAAATTACAATAAAAAGTGGTTACATTGTTGAATATTATTGTGAAGCTCTAACTGGAACAAAATAATTTCTCATCTTTAATCCCAAATGTGATTACATACTCACATACTCAAATGTGAATTGCAACTGGTTTTTGCAAAGCATGGAGAATATTCAGGGCCTGCTCATAATTACCAAACTGATTTTAATAGGCTAAACCTCGAGCACTTATAAAATGCATAAGGTCCACTGAGGATAAACTTGCTGATCTAGTTACTCCAGCAGGGTCTGCAAGATGCTTCACCTTACATGAATACCAGTGGAATGCACTTCAGTGCCATAAAGTTAACAGATTTCTAACAATGCTGCAAAACATCTCAGACTGTCAATCAACAAACTCTACATGGTGAGCCAAGCGAACCTGGGTTTAAGAGATTCAGGCTTTTCTTGAAATCTTTTATCTTCTCATTTATTCCAACACCAAACTAGCCCAAAAATACATAATAAATTACTCAAATATGCACAAGCATCTATGGACACATTTTGCCCTCTTAAGGATTCAGTGAGAAATTGGGCACACCTGTCTGCACAAGAATTTGTCTCTTACTGTTTGTCCCTGATTAGCATTTTCTAAGAGCTGTTAAGGCCACTAACTAATGGCCTGTCAGCTGTGTCTCTGCCCTCTTTCCTCTCATCTACACTTTGGGGTCCATCAACACTAAGAAAATGGCTAGCTGGTGACAATCATCATTGGCAACAGCTTTTCTAATTCCTGCTCAAATGATGTTGAAAACTGTTTTCCGGCTTGTGTAAAAGAGACAAACACATTTCTGGCCCATTACAGATTGATGCAGTCATCCTTTCCAGTAATGGGCCTTAAAATTGATTGGTCCCAATTACACCAGGAGTAAACATCATTTTCAGCACCAGTCGGAAGTGGTCCAGGGGGACCTGCTGTTGACAACCACTGTCAGCAGAAAGTTTGTCAGTGAATGGTGATTTTTCTAACACAGATGTTGAACAGAGAGACGGAAGAAGCCTGAATTTACCATGATCTGCCCCAAAACAAACATTAACATTTGGGTATGTTACTGATGATGCTTAAGCACATTCACTTTAGGATCTGCTAATTTGGTCTTATCAGAAAGAATGTAGTTTTTTGTGTGTGTGACTGTGACTGCCTTAGACCCTGAAAATGAAAAACAACTTACTCCTAAGACAATATAGACATCTTAAATATTCAAATTTAGATGGTGAGTGAAACATAAAAATTATCATTACTGACCTCATGTGGAGTGGAAAGTGTATATATACACATCAGAAGTTTGCTCAGCTGTCAACTAATATTTCTAAAAAAGCACTCTTTGTAGATAAGTATAAGAGAAAAGATACCAGGGCCTTAAAATCAGATGTGCAAACTGCCTTTTAAATGTCCATAGATGAGTGTATTGCAGTTTTCTTATTTGTAAAATCAGAAGATCACATCCTTATTTCATATGATGTAATGTTGTGAGGAGAATCAGTCCTTTTAACAAAGCAGAACATTTAAACTGCTGTACAAATATTAACATTGTTTTCCTATTCAAAATGCCCAATGATGGACCAGGTCATGGAACAGACAAAATCATGATGCACAGCTTTGAGTACCTTCATCAAATGCTGTGTGCAGCTTCCACATGGACCCAACACAGCAAATGGTTTCTTTGCTTTAGAAATGTAGCTGTCATGTCATTTCACCATTGAACTACATCCTTCCATTCACATGGTGCTCAGACACACATAAAGCAAAAACGTGATATGACACTGTTTTAAGACCACCGCTTAGTTTTGGTCCCAGGTTTGGAAACTTCCAGATGAGTTAACTGATCAGCTCAGCACAGAAAAAGTAGGCTGATGGTCCCTGCTTCACTTTTCTGAAAATGACTTTGTGTGTCAAAGTCACATCATTAACATTCACTTCACAAAACACAAACACAATTTATAGAGAAAAGTACTCTGGTTTGGATAAACATGCTTGCCTTCAAGCATCATGTAGTATTTAAATTCTTTTTAAACTATATTTCCTGTCATTAGAAAAGTTACTTGTGTTCATTTGAGAGCAATTTTCTTCAGACTAAGTATGAAAAAGAGAAAAATTATTTTATTAGACATGATCACATTGTTCAGGAGTTTTTACAGTATTTTCCTGTTACCCAGTTTCTGCCCAAACATATTAATGATGTGTATAAACATGCCCAGAATGTTAATGATATTCAAAGTGGTGTGAAGGCCTACAGCACTTGACAGTTTCAAAATGTCAGCACAAATGTATGGTGAGCTGAATACAGTTTTAATTTTTAAAGGAAATTGGACATTTCACAGAGTTGAGTATAAATGTCAGCTTTATTTAAAGGCTGAGTAAATAGTCTTAAACACATCCTAATCCTCTTAGATGCAAACCCTCCATGTAAAGGTTGAATTGAGTTGGCAGAGCATTGTAGGTAAACATGCATTCTGCTCCCACAGGTAAACTGTGCTGAATGGTGGATAAAAGAGCTTTGTCCTTCTACCTGCCCAGTAGTTTCCCTTCCTTTTCTCTGCACTTTCAAAGCTGTGATTACACAGATACCCTGAAATAGTGTGGAAAGACAAATACTCCATATTTGGGATGCTCGCTGTTCCATGTTCTGACTCTGAGATGAAAATTCACATGGTTCTTAATTAAACCTGTACTTACAAAAGAAGAAATCCTCAGCTATGCACCATGATGCCCAAATATTACCCACAAGAGATGTGTGCTTCTGCTGAGCAATAACCAGATTTACATAACTTGCTCCCTTATGTGTGATAGGTATTTGTCCATTGCACTGCAGCTACTCATGAGCAACCAGAAAGAATCTGTTCTTAAACACATTAAACTAACTGGTTAGAGTTTTGTGTTGCATTTGGATGACTTATTTGATTTTTTGAAGTTTGCTCAGGCTGAAAATAATTTCCCCCATATTTTTTCATTATTTCTAACATGCTGTTAAAAGCTCTCATTTATCAAAACATCCTTCCCTCCCATGCTTTCCTTCATTTCCTTTTCTTTTTTTTTTTTTTTTGCTTGTTTTAAGGGTGAAAGATGAAACAACTGCATTTCATTTATCCTCACATCTGTAACCTGCTCTCCTTAATTCTATTAGCAGGTGATGTACAGCTGTACAAGGGGAATAGGTTTTGCACTAGCATACTAACGCTCCGAGTATGATGAATTTGCTACAGGAACTTGTCTCATATTCCTCCTAGTGCCTCCTAGTCCCTTCTCTGAGAGGGATTCACATTTTTCCACCATTATTTCCTTTTCTAGCAGTTCACCATCATTCCTACTGCTAGGTAAATAAAAAACCTCTTGCTTCTGGGGAAAGGCATTCACATTCCCAGCTCTAGGCTCTGTCAGCATGACACCCTGATGCTTCCAACAGCAGAAATGGACAGTGTTTGACAGGAAGAGGGAATTCTGTAATCAAGGCAGGTTGCAAATTACTGCTGGGAATTCCATTGCAGGTATTTCCCAGCAGCAGAAAAAATTATTCTTCAAACATAATGCTTCCCTGAAGTTTTCCAGCAGCCTTTTAATCAGCAGCCAGCTGTCAAGATTCTGCACACAGACATACATCTAGCCCTGACATTTAGTTTTCAGCCCTCATAACCTTAGAGTGTTTGTTGCACTGTTAGTAGGAGAAGATGGGGTAAACTTAAGATAATTTGAAATTAACATCCAAGCTATGTTTTCTACATTGTTAGCAGCAAAAAATTGTCCCATTTATCTAATAAAAAAGTGCCGTAAAATGACATGCCTGCCTCAATTGATTTAGTTACCTAAAAAGAATGGAACTGGATCACAACTTTTAAGGTTACACATCAGCTATTCTTAAAAAGCTTTGTGTACCCCTTAAAATGGTATCACTATTTTAACCAATCTTCTCCTAAAATTTTTCTGACAAGTAAGTTTTTACAAAACCTAAAACTAACATAAATTTTTCTTCAAGGTTGTGTCTGTATCTGTATCTGGGCAGCATTTCTGCCCCAAGCAATGATGCATTGAGCTAGTATTTGCTAGCTTGACCATGAAATCAAACATGACCTGATTCTAATAAGAAATATAAAGACCATTATTAGGTTTTGATATTGTGAAAACCTTCAGAACTTCAGGAAGCTAACAAGCAGCTGAAAAAAAAAGCAATCAACTTTCAAAATACTGTTAAGTACTCCTATTTATTTGTAAGTTATCTAAATAAAACTAAAAGAATAAGTACTTTGATCAAATGGTATAAATCAGTGCAGGCATCAAACTGAACACTACAGCTCAAATTCTTTAAAATAAATCATTTATTAGTCTATTAAATTCTTTGGAAAATTCACTTGATACATATTCAGGAGATAAGAACAAACTTATTCATATGCATAAAGAGTGCAAGAGCAGGGCAGAAACAGCTCACTTGTCTCCTCTACACAGCACCCCTGAAGAACTGCCCAAGTACTGGCAGATGAGGACACTGAAACAACACTGGTGCTCATTTAAACAAAGAACTTTATGCACTTCAAAAGTAGCTACAAGTGAATTCAGAAAAACTGTGCCTGCAATTTTATTTCAAAGTGATAGCACTTAGTTACTATTGATAAACAGTAAATATCCTTTTCCACTGCATTCAGAATAAAATTCATATACTGTTACTCATAGCACATTTTATACACATACCATGTCCTAAATTACTTCAGAGCAAATAATTTATAAAAAATAGCAACTAAGGAAATATGGAAATATTCCATGTCCAATTCATTTCAGTAAGCTGTAGCAGATGTATCTACCCAAAACAAGCACACTCATTTCAGATGGGAGAGTACTTACATCACTCTGGTGTTTACTGACTTCCATGGCATGTTTAACATCTGGAGGTTCCCTCATACGTGCATAGTCTGAAAATCCTTTCTCAGCATCATGTTTTTGTTTATAGAGAACCTGAAAAGAGCAACATTATACTTTTGTGACCTGAGAAGAGCAGGTATAATAACATGAGCTAGGTCAAACCTAGTGGTGTAGTCTACCTGTATTCAGGAAGAAACTTAATAAATAATTTAACTCCTTCATGGGTCCAGAACACTGAAATTAGAGCAGCTTCCACCCAAAACAGAGACATATGAGGCATAGTCAGCGGTGAGATTTCTCTGCCTATGTTATGGCAACAGATGCATGAGTAGACAGGGGAAAGAAACAGTAATACACAAACAAAAATTAAGCTTAACAAGGTGAGAAGACAGCCCAGGGAAAACATAATCAAAAGCCAGCTTTTTTTTTAAACACACTTGAAGCAATCAGCTATATAATTATTCTCCATTTTCAGAGAAAAAAATATTTTATGCATTTGTCATAAACAAACAGTTTCACTGTTTATTATAAACCCATTGCCCACAGTTCTATTTCTTCCACTGTTGGGAAGCAACCAGCACAATATGCATTTTTACTTAGCCCCAGGTTCACAAAGAAAAATAATATTTACATTCAATTGTCATCATAGTAAATGAAAATGGAATTGAATTGTGAATTTATAAACACCTTTACTTTTATAATAGAAATGGAACTCTGTTGGGCATTCATCCATCTTTCACTGTACTGTGTTATACTTACACACACACTCACACACTACAACTGCCTAAAAAGCTCATCTTACACTTATCCTTGTCAGAAGCTCTTAGGCTTATATTAAGGAAAATTCACCAGGTTTAGATGCCTAAAAAGTAGCAACCATCAAGAAAATTCATTCTCTAATAGCTTTCATGAGCAAGCATTAAAATAATCCATAAGAAAACAGCAAGTATTAAATAAGATAGAAAGCTGATTAGGACGAGAAGGATTGACACAAAAACCCATGGTAGCAATAAAAGAATACTGTGAAAGTTTTGAGACGGAAACTCTCAACTACAGAGATTCAGACTCTTTTAGGACAGGATACTAGAATTGTGAGAAAATGCTGTATCTGGTTTTGCTTAAAGCAAGATTTCATCTGAGTTACAGAGTAGTGTGCCCAAAGCAATATGTTAGTATCTGCCCTGACTATTTCAGATTACAAAATGATACACAGGCTGAGACATTAAGACAAGAAGGGAGGAAGGGTATTTTTTCACCGCTACTATGTGAACAAAAGTATCAAATCAGGAACCTTAAAATGTGCCACCTCCTTATCCAGTCTAGCACAATCAGCCTTCTGCAGGAACAAACACAACTGACAGTGAAACAGGGTCCATAACTTGCCTACACTGTTTACATCTTGCAAATGGAAAAGCACACAATCCTTAACACAACTGAAGCTCCACTAACAAATCATTTCCCACAAAAGTGGAATTACTATACAAACATATGCCACAAAATCTCTTTTGCTAATTCTCCTTGCTTATACTTTTAAGATGTTCCTCTCTTAATGCCATTATAAACAGAAGACCCATACGGTTACTTCTAAAATCTACTAATTTACAGATATTTTATTACATTGCCATTTTGCTGGTTCAACAGCTCTATTTTTCCCTTGGTGAACAGGCTATGTATCCAAGATATGAAAACACAGTAACACATCAACTCTCAGCATGAGAAATTTAGCAGAAATTATGAGTATCCGCTGTCTTGGGAAAGGATGACCGTTTCTTTAGCTTAATGTAGCAATATTTCACTTGCTTTGGCATCTGTTCTTCCTATCTTTTCCCATTATTTTCATTAACTCACTGAAGCAGTCTTGTTGCAATCCTAGGCTAGGAGGGGTTCAATAGCTGTCTAGTTTAGCTTGGGACAGTTTAGTGCAGAACTATTCCCAGATTTGTAAATCGCTTCCAAGTAAGCATGAAAAAATATTTATCATTATTTCATCAACATCCTTAGTAACATTATTTTTATAGGTTAGTATGCATACATTTATTTCTCAAATCATGCTGATTTTCAAGTTTTAGCTAAACTGAATTTCCTTAATCAAATCTACATATGAAACTACTCTACACAGAGATCAAGCATTATAGGTCACTGACATAACCTTTACCCTGTGGTGGTGCCATTTATTAACTTGAGAAATACAAGGCAATTATTTAAGTAGGTATGACTTCAGATTGAACCAATTTGTAAGTACTCATTTTTTATTTTTCTTCTCTCTTTTACACCAGTGTGTCAATAGGAAGCTGCATTAAGGAAGGTTTTGTGTTCCTTTAACCCAGCTCTGCCTGGCCCCCTGTTTTGGCACACATTAAGCCCTATTACATTTTTATTTTCATTTCCATTTATAGTCAAGATATATAGTCAAGTCCATTATAGTTAAGATGTGCTCTGAACTTAAAATCCATAAAGTAGGATTTCGTAGAAGGAAACATTCAAGAACACCAAAAACATCACTTTAGTCTCCATATAGAGAATTAGGTTATCCAATGTAATTGTATAAAACAGAACTATGGCAGTCCAGAAGACTAATACCTACCACCATAACAGAGAGAAAATATTGAATATTACATTTCCTACCATAAAAAATCCTGAAAAATTACATTAAAAAATTGATAATGAGTAATATGATTGGAAATGATGCAATAAACAACAAAATTTTTATTGCAGTACAAAAACACCCTCTGAAACTTCTTCTGGAAGTTGAAAACATTGCTTAAGATTCTCTTGGCTCATCACCTTTATAAAGAAATAGGAAATACTGTTCAACATTGACTCTTTGAGATATTGCCCCGTGCAAAGTAGAAAATTAAACTGCCTTCAGTTTGCTTTAGATTATCCCTTTTAGATAAGAAGAAAAACAGTGCAATCACTTCTTATGGCAAAAAACGAAGTGATGAAAAAGTGATGAAGTGTTTATTTTTTTTCAACATTTTTCCCCCAAGCAATTTTAAATATCTTTATCATTGTTTGTGACACCTTATTAAAAAAAATATTGTTTTACATAAGGAAGTATTCAGCATACTGATCCTCGGACAAGAAAAAGATTTGGCACATAGCTAGCAATGATCAGAAATTTTCCTTCAGCAATATTTTCCACAGGAATATTGCAATTTCTCCAAAAATTTCCATTTCCTTTCAGAAAAATCAAAATGAAGGCTCCCTACCTAGATTGCTCTCATCAAATTTATTTTATCACTGTGAAAAGAAGGGAAATTGATGAGAACTTTGTAGGCTGGTAAGGAAAGTGAAGTTATTCAGTGATGACAGGGGCTTCTCTTTTTAGCTTTCCCTGGGGACCGCTATGATAAAAGTGAGAGAAGGGGGAAGTCTGGTTGCTCACTCTCAAGAAAGGCATTTAGAAGGCCACAGTCAAATTTTCTGCGAGGAAGAAAAAAAATTAAATTATAAAAGCCACCCAAGTATGTGGGACTGTGAAATTTTTTTTTCATTTTCCTGAAACATTTTTTCCCATAAACAACATTGGGATTTTTTGGGTTTTTCTCTTTTTTTTGGTTTTGTGGGTTTGGGGTTTTTTTGGTTTGGGTTTTTTTTTGCCAGTTTTGGATAGATGTCATTCTCTATGGGTATTTATTTCCTTTTTCATTCCAGTTCTACAAAAAACAAAAAAGAGTAAACACGGGTTTCATGCAAAAGCCAGCAGGAAGTCTTGTTTCAGGCTTTCCTGAGTATCTTGAAGACAGAATTGAGCATGACTCAATACAGCCAGTATGGGGAAGAGGCTGCACAGGAAGAGAACCATATGTGTCAGAGTGCTGTAATCTCCACTACAGCAAGATCCTTATGTCAGTGCTGACACTGCATGGCAGGACCCCTGAAGAAGGAGATCCTGGCTCAGCTGAGATCACTGGCAATTGCCACAAGAGTTAAAAGAATGCCACTGTGGTCAAGGGTGCTGTGGCAGCCTGTTGGCTCTGGAGAGGACAGTGGAGGGCAGCTGTAGGGGGGGGCGGTATAACTCCTTGAGTAAAACAAGATATTTCTCCTAGTTTCCTCCAAGTTCCTAAATCATATGTGTGATTTGAAATTGTGTATCAAATTACTAAACTGGGCTGGATATAGGTAGGCTGAAGAGAGGGCTGCTGGGCAGCAGCAGCAGCACCATTTCAGGAGCAAACTTTGCATCAGGGGAGAGCCCATTTGTGGGGGACACACCTGTGTAAGGAGATCCTCTGCCAGAGGCACCCAGCCTGTGCCAGCAGCCAGCCTGGGGAAAGTCAGGGGCTCTCTTTCACCCCATCATGATCCTCTACCCCCAATGCACCCGCTTGGCATGTGAGGCTGTCAAGGATCCTGCCAAGAACACGGCACCACAGAGCAAGGAGAGTCCTGCTTGATCCGCCCACAAAAGCATTCCAGCCCAGCATTGCATCCAAGAAGCATAAAAAGGGAGTCAAAGGTGTAAATTTGTTCTAGTGTGGGTAGGGAGGACAAGGACACACACTCGTATTTTCCACCTCTCGGGAAATCAGAACTATTTTAAAATCAGGTTACTGCAACTCAGAAACAGACTGCAATTCTGTTTGCAGCAGCCTTTTTGGAGCAGAGCTGGAGCCATGGGCAGCTGGTGCTGTTCTCTCTCCTTCCTATGGAATACCTGTAGCCTCCTCCTGAAGTGATGACCTGTAAATTCACAGTCCCAGCTAGGCAGATGCAACAGAAGCCCCCTCTGCCATATCCTGACCCAGATGAAATCTGAAATCCTTGTATTAGCTACTTAGGTACTGCAGTGATAGGCACAATATGGATTAGATTTGAATACTGTGGAGAAGATTTTTCACTAGAAAATCCCCTGAGAGCTCTCTCAAAGTAGCATTAAATTCAGGTCCATTGCAGCAGTAAACCACAAGTTGGAAAAATGTGTCAGCGTATCTTTAAGTTTTATGGTATATTATGATTTATAACGCATCTACTCCTAAGGGGATAGTATGAATTTTGTGGGAAAAAATTCTGCTTAAATATAACTCAGCCTATATGCATATTTTTTCTCTAGAACTGTTGGATGATTGAAGAAAGCCTTCAAAAACTACCAAATAAAAATGTCAGTCTTTTCCTTAAAAGGGTTTTTTTATGAACCAATGGTTTCATTTTTAGTTTCAGTTATTTATCTTTTCTGCCACATCACCAAAGTTAATTAACCTCATTTGGGTAAACAAATGTAGAATGCAATAATTTGGAATGAATTTGGGAGCAAATCTGTGGCAGAATAGTTAACTAATGTTTTATAAATCAAGCTAATGGCTTAAAAATGTTACACAAATTTAATTCCCAATTTTATTTTTTACTATAATTCCTCTAATCACTCACTTTACAATGAAATGTCACATTAATGTCATTTCAGCTACTGTGGTGCTTTAACTTGTGTATATATGTTCCTTTTCAAATTCTGAAAACTAAAATATGTGTTATTGTATTTGCTTAATATAGCCTTGATTAACATAATATTTTATATCAAAACATTTTTCCACAAGCTGTCCTGAAATTTTAGTCCATTCTTTTTTTATTAATATTTTCCTTTGTCTGAAAAGGTGTCACTGCATTACAAGAATGCATATTGAGATACAATCAATATTATGGATTTAGAAGGGTGTTCCCTTCATGCACTGGCTGTTTTAAACCATATGTAGTTATCTTTAAGGGAGGAGAAAGCAAAAACAAGAAAACCATGGAAGTGCTTGGTGAACAGAAAGCCACGACCATCTATTTGATGTAATTCTCATGAGTAACAATGAAAATCTGGACCCTCATTCATTTTACACATGCTTAACATTCATAATTCCACTGAGGTCACTGGAAGTGAAGGGTCACCTGCCTACTCTTAGGGTATTATATTTTTAAGTCCTTGAAGGCAACTGAACCAGAAATTACTATTTTTCTGGTTGTTTACAAGCTTTATACTATATTCAATATACTTGATTTCATATTTTAATTGTATAAAATTTGTTCTAAGTAGTAGTATGCAGATCATCAGAAATACATTTGCTGCTACCACTAAGTGCCTTTAGAAGTCATTAAAGCAGTTTTCTTTTCTCTTGCCTTCAGCATCAAATATTTTATATTACATTTAATATATGTTAATACAACACCCAACTGGAAAAGTTACATAAGAGTCACCCATTCTATAAGGACCATGCAATGTCACTAAATTCAATAATTCCTTATTGTATTCACAGGTTTCACTGGATCAATGAATGCACCACCAACTTTTAAATGCATATTTAATAAACATAATTAAAATTGTCAACATTTTAAAAATGTGCAGTTTTTGAATTTAAGAAGTTATGGTGATAAACTCTGGATGATAAGCTCATCCAAATAAATCAAGCAGACAATCAAGTGTCCTTTCAAGTATTTTGTTTAAAGTGTACTTATTCTGACACACAGTTAATCCAAAAATCATTTTTGCAATTCTAAAATTGTACCTTGCTCTGAAGGTGCATTAATTCTTTCGCAAATACACTGTCAATTGTGGCTGGCATCTGCTGATAGAGAGGGTTGGAAAGGTCTTTCTTAGCAGCTCCTTTATATTTCACCTGGAGGGCAGAAAAAGGTGATATAAAATGCAAAAATGAAGATACAGTAAACATACTACTTATTTTTTCTAGTAAGTGAAATGACAGAGAACAGAACTGGAAAAATTTCATTAACTGTCACTAAATTGCTAGCAAAAACATCTTTAATAATACTTTATGGGGATGTGCCTAATTCACAAAGCAATGCAAAATATCTCCGAATTAAATTCAATAATTTGAATGTAAATACAAAATAAAATAGCAAGGTAGTTTCTTCTATCCTCAGATCATTTTCAAATCCAAAAATTAATTTTCTTCTTTCTCTTTTACAGAGTCCTGAACAATGGGAGCAAATGGGAGGTGAACCATAAATATTTTACCAACTAAAGAGTAGCAGCAACTAAATGTAGCTAGAAAGGGGAGGAACACTGCAGTTTGCCTGTCTGCCATCATTTCTGTTTCATTTGTTCATATTACAGTCTCATTTTGAAATTACATTTTATTTATCCTGTGTTTGCTCCAGTATTCAGTATTGGCAGCTCCTCACAAAGGGGTTTTACAAGAGATACCAGAACAATAGCTGAAAATGTGTGAGGCTTTTGCTTCAGTTCTAAGTCTTCCAAGTCCATAAAACAGTAATGGCAACACTGCTGTAAAAGTAATCATAAATACCAAAAATATTTTCAATTACACTAATGTCACTTATTTACTGTGAAATATACAGTCCTTCACTAAAGGCTAATTCCCCAAATGCATTATATGCATACATATCAATAATTTGCTGTAATATTTGTTGCCGTTTCCCAAAACAGAGGGCTCTTTTTCACTGCTGTTAAGAATTTGTGTCCAAGATTTGCAAATACAGGTGATGGGACACTAGAGGTCAGTAATTTACAAGATAAACCATCCCTCACATCATTAGCTTCAGGTAACGCTGGAATAAACAGGCAGCATTCTCAAAAGTGTGGTAATATCAAACCTACAGGGTTTAATATTTTAGAATATTTTTATTTCTCTAAATCTTTGCTTAATAATTAACAGAAGATTCGCTGGAATCTGACAGTTTAGATAAATACTCTCTATATACTGCATTTCTGTAGACTGCAATAGTCTGTCGCTTATAAAGTACAATTACATCAGATTTACTTCCCTTGGGACATGCCGCTCCTTCTCAGACAACAGGAAGATAAATACAAGAAAAGTATTTAATTGGTGCATTCATATTGAAAGCCACATAGCAAATTATTGTATATCAGAAATTGAATTTATGTAACCTCACACAGTGATACTTGGACTTTTTTATTACAATCATAAAGTGGCACAAAAATGAGGCACCAAAATTTTAATTTTTTGAAGGGCGATAGGGACAGAAAAATCACTCAGAACCCGTGATTTCTAAATAAAGCTGCTGTCTCTCAGGTGAAACTTCTGCTGCTGTTCTTACCTGTGGAAAATAATCAGAGATGGAATCCTACAGCACCTCGTACCTGGGACATGAAGAGCTGGCAGTAAATGCTGCTCTGACACTTTGGAAGCTATTGATCTTTCTTTTCTTTCTTTCAAGCTGTGTATGTGTGCACATGTCACAGGTATGCAGAGATAGGTAGATAGATAGGTAGGTAGGTAGGTAGATTAGATAGATAGATAGATAGATAGATAGATATGCATGCAAGGGCTCAGGCAACCCACCGATGACCTGATGTCTGCCCCAGCCCACTTGCTGAAGGAGGACAGGGATGATAACATGGAAACATTTTCCTTGTCTCCTGTTTGATATCAGACTGTGAAATCACCACAGCAGGGAATTTTTGCACACGTGTAATTTGCAAACCTCATCACTGCAGAAAGTGCAACATTCTTTTCCTATTCCTCAGTTTATCCACACATAAAATGGTATAGCTAGGACTTGCTCAGAACCATTAATAAAGTGTCTTCAAATCCCAAAATAAAAGTGTCATGTAATTCCAAATTATTATTATTATTCACATTGCAGTATACACTAATTACAGCCTTTGAATTCACTTCAGCTTTAAACAGAATTATTATTTGAAATAAGCCATCCTTCCCCAACTAAAAATCACAGTACTCAACTGAAAGAGTTTTTAGGAAGGATAAGACACCAAGAAAATTTTTCAGTCTTTTAGATCTTACCTCAGAAATAAAAGCACCAAGGCTTTTCACATGTTTTAGCTGCGGGGTGTCAGGTACAAATATGCACTTGCCTTTAGATTTTTTAAACTCTTCTTTATAGTGTACCTACAAAGAGAAGAAAAAGAAGTTTAATTGCTCTTAAAAACACACATACAGAAAAGCAAACATTGGTTATTTTAATTTTTTTATTATTAGTAGTATTTTTATTTTATTTTATTCATGGATACTGCGCTGGGCAGCTTGCAAATACCTCCGGCTGGATCAAATTAAACCATAAAGGGAAGCTACGAGTTCTCACGCACATTACCAGGGCTATGTAAAAGTCACAGAACTCTTTAATAATACAGATGAAAAAGACAGGACTTTTCTCTACATCTAGAGCACATTTTCACGACAGTTGTAGATGTTTTAGTATCTCTAAAGAAAGAAGAATCGAATAATTGATCTCCTTGATCCTTGATCTCAAAGATAAAAATTGTTTAACTTCTAACACAGACCTAGCAAGCACAGAATCTGTATAATATCATCAAATGCCCCTTTATGAATCCAAGACTCACATGAATAAATTCAAGAGGCCACTGCTAAACTATTGCCTACAAAGTACCCAACACTTACGACGTTCAAGAAATTACAGAATTTCTCTAAGACCAAACAAATTTTAAATTGAGGCATTTTTTTAAAATGTGTATGCACATAGGAAACCATGAAAAAAAAAACTATCAGAACACTATGACGGATTTGATAACAAAAAAAAGAAAGAAAAAAAATAAAAATAAAAAACCCAAACTTTTTTTTAAGCAACCAATCTTTTTCTTACAATGGGGCAAACAGTATGAGCAGGTATAACAACCATATGAGCATTGCTAGAGTCAGAGTTATTGTTTGCATTATTGAGACTGCAAAAAGGATAAAATCTATGGACGTGGTTAACATGTAGGAACACTCTTTATATACAAACTGCATGAAGAAAGATGGTGAATTATGATGAGATGGACTAAGTAAGTTTTAACGACAGACACTTTACAAGGATAGCCTTAGATGTTTTCAGTGACATTTCTTTCTTTGTACAGAGAATTGTTTAGATCAATGCAAATTGAATTATTTAGTACTAAGCTTTCATGGTTATTATCTGCTACCATTTCTCTAACCTCATTTTCACATTCTGCCTAACAGCAGCTCGAATTTATGCACTCTAGACTTGCTGACAAGCACTGACAGAAGCAATATGATCTGCATCTGAGCATTACAGAAATATGCAGCCTTAATATCCTCTTTCTCTTAATCCTTAATGGATATCACAAGTTCTAGTGTATGCTCCTCTACAGAGACTTGGAAAACTTATGAGAAGGATGGCAGCTTACACAGATTCAATTCCTGTGCTATCTAAAGCAAAGTTTGTGTTTACTGAAAAATGGATTAGATAATGCCAAATTTATCTCAAATTCATGACTACTTTATCCTCACACAAGAAAAAATTTTGCTTGATATTGAGCTCATTCAGATTTGAACTACTGAAAGAATCTACTCGTCACTTCCACATCACATTGTCTGCTTTTATGGATTACAATCTATTCTCAAAGAAAACCTTTTGGTGAACAATGGCTAACATTACTGTGTCATGACTTTACTCACAAAGCCAATGGTTCATGTAACCTGTGTGTGACATCATAGACACAGGTAATCACAGAGCAACACACAAAAAGACATTTTTATGGTAAGTATGAGCAGGCACTTACTGTCCAACCTGCACACACGCATTGGAATTTTACAGAGCTGACAGTCTACTGGGTGAATCTGATAGCATTCCCAGTAGAAATTCCTGTAAAGCTGTGATTCTGACAGAGGAGACAGTCTTGTTGCTCACAACTTAGATAAATCATCCACAGACATCTGAAAGCTGACTGTAATTATATCCATTTTAATTGCAGAGCAATAATTACATTCAAGAATCAAACACAAAAGCTTCCTAAGGTATCGCTTAATTGGGGGGAATGACAGAACATGACTAGAAGAAACAAAACTGTTCTGCTATAGAAGTCATGCTTTCAAAAAAATTGAAAGCAGTAAATGACTAATGCCACCTCCTTAATCCTTTATTATTCACATTTTTTGTGACAGTAACCCATGCAAGCCACAAAATGCATACAGACTCAAATACACAATTTAGAGAGAACATATAATAAAATGTTTGGTCAAATTCTGATCCAACAAACTCCACTCTGCTACAGTATTGTCCACATTGCTTGGAATCAGAAAGATGGAAGATGAAATGGGACAAGTATAATGAAGTCATGACACTTGCAGTTATAAAACATATTTAGTGTAAACGATGCAATGAAGATGTTCAAGAGCTTGCCTATGATCGAACATAACCAATGAATGGAATGAACAGGCAGAGAAGCTAATATTCCTCTTCAAAGCTGGTAATTAAGAATACAGATGTCTTAAATATTGAATAGGAAATTTTGCCTGCAAGTGGCTTACCCCTCACCACAAAATACACTGTTTGCATTGAGCAGACCTGGTAAGCCTTGTGAAAAAAATAAATAGGAAGAAATTGCAAATGGTGGCCTGGAGCCACAGCTCTTTCAATATACTTCTGAAGTTCAATAGCTCACTAAAGGCCCAATTTTTCATAGTTCTCTCCATATCCTTTTCTTATCCCTGACTCATCATAAAACCAACTCTGACCACACACAACTATCCAGTAAAGAGGATTAAAATTCCTAGACAACCACCAAAACATTAAGTTTCAAGCTGCATTTTTTTCTTAATGGATATTATATGGGAAGATCAACTTTATAAAACAAGGGCATCCAAATTTTAAGCCGAAGCTTCCTGGTTCACCAAGAAAATTCATCTCACCCATGGCCTGTTCCACCAGCCTTTTTCAGGGGGAAAAACAGAAGGGAGACTGTGGGCTAAAGGAAAGACTCCAATGGTAACAGCATAATCCAAGCAGCCACCATTTCTTTTATTCAGGGACACATGCTCATCTAACTTTATTAAAAATAGCTTTTGAGTATATTCATATTAATCTTAACATCAATGGTGTAACCATGTCAACAGTCATCCTGCCAAGATCCACTACAGAACTGTCATATCCAAAATACCCATTTTTGTTTAGAAAAACAACAAAAATGTCTGAACCTTCTTATCTAGATTTTATGTTAGAACAAAAGTAAACTTCTTCCCACTAAGTATTCACCTTTTCAAACTTACATTTCTATTGAACTTATAATCTCTTATAAGACTAAGGACTGTGTCACACCACAGATTCATCTAATACAGAATCCTTTCTCTGTGGTCATAGGAATCTAGTGTAAAGCAAGAGAAAATGGCAGGCATACAGTATTGCTATTAAAATATATAGTATTTTAGTAATCTCCAGCAATTTCAAACTCAAGATCCTCTTGAGTTAGAGGCTGTGACTAGTATTGGTGAGTCCAGGTGAACAGCTGCACCCAGAATTAGGCAGCCAAAATCCTGCTACTTTGGCACAGTGTTTCCACTATTGGCTCTAGGTCTTTTGGGACTTTGTTGTGTAACAGAGACATCCTAAAGCTAAGTTGGACTCTGTGCAAGGACAGATAAATAGCAAGCAGTCCTATTTGTTTGCTTTAGAGGAAAGGAAGTGCTGGTACCACTCATTACCGCAATTCAGCAGAATCTTCAGAAGGCGGTGTCTGCCATTCTACCAAAAAGGATTATAATAGTTTGGTCAATTACCTTCTATAATTGTTCCCATCTCTGCTCATAACAGTACTGACAACATCCCACCACATAATCAAAACAAAAAAAGAGATGAAAATACACTACAAGCAAATGGACGAGCTCAATTTCAATGTGGAAGAGAAAAGGCCTGGAGAGGAAGGCAATTCATATAAATCAAACACACATGACAGTTTTGAAAACATCTGTGGAGTAAAATTTCATAATAGAGGGAGATTAAATGGAACGACTGTCGAGAGAAAAAATCCAGGGGGTATCACAGCCACAGAACAAACATCTGCCAACCTCAAATGAAACTGGGGATTTTCTCAAGAACGGGAGCACATAAACACTTCACAGCTTCCCCTACGTACAGCTCAAGGCTGGCAATTACAGATTCACCAAGGACTGCCAGTGTAACACTTTTTCAAAACCATATTGCCAAATTAAAATCAGCCTGCAAAGAATGCAGGGCAAGCATAACATAGCCCCAGTATCTCAGGCATGTGCACTCCTGGCTCTGCATTCTGATGGAGATGTGCTGACAGCTCCACCATCAGAAAAGGACAATCACCCAGTCTCGTGGCCAGCAAGGACACAGGCTGCTCCCCAAGGTCATCTAAAGAGCCAAACAGAAAGCGCCATAAAGCCACTGCACAAATAAAATGTACCAATGTACACCAATCATAAGTCCACACAAATAATAGTACGCTGAAAGGTTCATGCTAAAAAGGATAAGGAATATATTAAAAGTTTTGAATGTCAGTAAGTCAAAAAATGGAAGGTAAGAATGCAAACTCCTTGCAATTCATTGGTCTCCACAATGAAATGTGCAGGGTGAGGAATTTATACCCAGGTACAAAGGACTTCACTGGTCATAAGAAATTCCATTATAGCAAAAAATTCTGGGAAACAAAATTCATATTCTATGCATATTCCATTCAAGCCAATGAAGAAAAACCTACTGATTTCATCAGAGGCTGAATAAAGCCCCAAAGCTGGATGTTATTTTTAAACAAAGAGCCTCTTTTTTGAAATTAGATTGGTCTGGACCATTATACATTGTTCTTGCTTTGAAAGCATTAATAACACTTTGCCATTATGCCTGACATATCTCAAGGAAAATCTAACACACTTGCAGGCTAAATGCATCACAAGTTTTCAGCAAAAGCCCACATCCCTGAACCATTATAAGCAGGAGAAGCCTGGCTTGACTTAGCTATTCACCTTAGCTCTCAAGTCCCTGCAGAAAATCCAAGAAAATACAGCCACTCCATTTCTTCATTAATTAAAAGCTACAGCCGACATTACTCCTAATGGCTACACAGCAGAGTAATAATTCCTTTTCAGTTAAAGAAAGATTTCTTCAGCATTTTTCAAGGAGTTTTTTTCTTTAAGAACAGTGACCATGGATGCAAATGTATATTGGGTCATATAAGTGCTTCAGGTCCATTTTCATTTTTGCCTTTACATGAGTTGACAGGCACTTAATGCACCATATGCCCTTTTTTCCCAAAGAAAGCATGTATATATCTATCAGTAAAAATATTATTAATCTCTACTGCTTCCTAAAGCAGGGTGAGTTTACAAAGGGCTCATCTTGGTATCTCTCTTAAGGATCTATCCAATTTTCAGCACTCTTTCTGTGAAAAGTGAAGTAGGAGGTGTAGGGACAAGAGGAAAGAGGAAACTTTGACTTTGTCAAATCACACTTTTCACGTCCCAGATACTGGTCTTCTGAGCTAACTACTCTTTTCTGATACACAATCCCTAAAAATTTATACCTAAAATGTAGATTCTGTATGTTCTATTCCCATTAAATCAACACCTAAATATTGTATTACAACATGAGCCAGACACCAGTTTTTTGTTTCTTTAGAACATTTGTTTAGGCAAGTCACTCTCTCCTCAGAAAGGTCTCCTCTCCTGCCACAGCTTTCTCACAGGGGAAATATCATTCTTTACACCCATGCGCCCATGAAGGGACAAAGTTTTTTTTTTGACACACTCTCGCAGAGAGAAACAAAAATAAATCTCCATCACGGTAAATCTGATCCTGTTACATTGAAGCAATCAGATCTACTCCAATTTAAAATGTCTGGGACCTGGTTTATGGTGTTCATATAACTGATCCACAGTTTTAAAAATCTATAGTAACTAAATCAAGAATTAGTAAGCTAAATATTTTTAAAATATATTCTAGCATTTGAGTGGATTTGTCCTATAAGCATAGTCAATAACAATATGCTGAGCAGTTTTGGACATCTATCAGCCCAAACAAAAGATCACATTAAAAATTTATCTTTTATTTTTAACTTCCCTCCTTTCATCTATGTATACTGGAACCTAGTTTTGTTCAAACCAATTAAACTGCATAAAATTAGGCTACAACCAGAAAAAATACCACATTTTCCTGATGAAAGCAGCCAAGGCGTTCTCCTGGCAGACACCCTCTGCCTGAGACCCACATTTTGAAACACTCCTTTCTAAGGCCTGTGCTTCATATCATCCCAGTGCTCTGGAAAGCTTATTTATTCTTTTGTGGCCAATAATTTACACTACCAGAGTAAGCTGTGCTTTTCTATTATTTTGTGGGCTTTTGTTATTTGAGCCTTGGATGGACACACACTACACTGTACATATTTGAGAAAATATGTATCATAAATATAAATGCATTTGAAAGAAGAAATGCAAATATGAGAGTGCAAATAGTCACCATCACTTACATCACTTATTAATTCACTGCATTTTCGGGCCAGTTCCATATTTCTGTCCTCAATAACAGGCTTGAGGAAGATCTGAAAGAGAAAGGTAATCATTACACATTTATTGTCCTAAAGATGAAAAATAGAAGGAAATAAGTACTTTGCAAAACTATTGGAGTTGAACTCACCTTTTCTTCTTCCTCCCAATCCTCATTTTCATCCTCCCTGAGATCCTGAATGGCAGACACTCGCATTTTAATACTTTGTGGGAAACAATGAAAACTCTTAAAAGGTTCAGTGCTGCAGGAAACAGCTCAGACCCTCCAGCATGCCTGGAATCAATGCTCCATTTGTGTCCTCCACTGCACTTAACCCTACCACGGCTCCTTCCTTATTTAGGCAGCACTTGACAGTCTTTATCTGAACAATTCAGAGTGAGTGAACTGAAAGGCATTGCAGATGGCCTTGCTGGCTATCACTCACAGCAGAGCTAATGCTTTCTTACTGATAAAATATAATTAAATGACCTATCGCCAGAGCAACTATTTTTAAAATTACTACAAACACAATTAAAATACTGTGATGCACGTAATTTGTAACATAAGTAATTCAGTAAAACTAACAGGATTGAAAGGGGAACATTGACTCTAACTTTATGGGAAAACTGCCCAATTGTTAGATTCAAGGCATCAGTGACTCTAAAATCAGTTATGACAAAACTTTATTTTACTGTCCCAATAATAAGGCTTCTTGTTTAAAAAAGCACACTATTCTCATCTTCAAGTAGATGTAACTGCTAGTCTATTTTTTCAGAATTACTTCTTTTCCACAAAGCTTATAGAAGTCTTAAATGCTTTCCATAATCATGTCAGCTGCAGGTTAAACCTGTGCACACATAGATACAGACAAGTCTGTATTACAAGTATACACAGCTATGTATTCACACAAACATGTATTTTCCTTCACTGTTACAAACTGTCATGGTCTGTAGTCTAAAAACCAACCTTTTTCAGTATGAAGTCACTGACTCCAGCTGCAATGAAACTGAAAGATATCCTGATGTTCATGGGTGCACTGTCAGTGTTTACTTCTGTAAAACAAGCAAGAAGGTATCAAAAGACCAGTTGGAGAAACTAGCATTTTAGTATCATTTTTCTTTTTAAACTGAAGCTTGTATATTTCTCATTTTGTAGAGGTCAGGATTTTGAAGTTCATCAAGCAAAGTCATCACCACTACATGGCTTTGCAATCAGGCAAGGATACAAGGAATGTATGCTCCTAAAAACAACTCTTTAAAGAATTTTAAGTACGTGTGCCCACACACCATGCCCAGAGTTTGTTTTTATTTAAAAACACACATTTCCTTAGAAAAATAAACATTTCAAAGATGAGAAATAAATACAGCATTTGATTTAGTTAAGGTCTAAAAATCTGCAAATTTAAGAGCAAAGGCAGGAACTGCTTTCAGCCGAAACCAAGAGAGAGAACTCTTTATACATTAATAGTACAGAAGGCTTCAAGACTTTCCATTCCATTCTCAAATATAAGTTCCTAAATTTCAGGTTTGAACTTTCAGCATTGTAAATTTCCAATTAAAACCTAGAAGTCTAGTTTCCATAGGTGAGAATTACCTGGGATATATGCTGACTGCTTTTGGAGTCCAGGAGGCTTCATCCTGGTGGAAACAAATGGTTTTTAGTCTTATGAGTATTCACAGTAAGAGATCTTTTTTGAAGATTATGGCTACAGCAAATATACTCCTAAACAACAGACTCATGTATGATTTTAAGGATCACATGTTAAAGAGACAGAGTACCTACAAAAGTGTCAGACAGAAATGCAGCACTAGAGCTTCACTTAGGGATTTTTGTGATAGTATTGCCAATACTATATGCTTTCAGTGCAGTTAACTTCCTTTTCCTTACTACAATTACTTTTTGTTTTTTAAGTGGAGACATTGAAAAATATTTAAGAGCATACAGAAAATTACTAGTAGCTGCAAAGCTTGTTGAACATAGGGAAATCTTTTGCTATTTTTTGCACTGGAAAGCAAATACAGTCAAAGTTACAATAAAGATGTTAGTGTTTTGGGGCAAAAGGGAAGTGTTTGGCTTTTTGACATGCTTTTAGCACTATATCTGGTGGGTTTTCAGCAGCTGGACAGGAAAACATATATTAATTCTGGTTCTCCTGCAATAGCTTCTGCATAATCAAAATCTGCAAGATAACTTTTGGTCAGTCATTAAGTGATCAGACAACTGGACTACACAGTCACTGGAATTCCCTTCCAACAGAACTACTCTATTCCATTCCATTCTTTTTTATCCTATCTGTAACAGCTTTGATACAATTCTTTTTCTCTCATTTTCGCATGATCAGAGTCAGGCAGAACCAAGCATTCAAATACCCTGTGTACCATGTAACTTCCATAATACAAGCATTAGACAGCTGCTATAGCTCATCAACTTATATTAAAGAAAAACATAACACGATACACAAAGAGAGTAAGGGAAAAAATCACAACTAACCCAAGTTATCACAAATAACTTGTGTTATCACAACTAACCCAAGTTATTTAAAATTCAACTTTTCACATAACCAATGCAACAAGATACTATATGACACAGAAATCCATCCCACTTTTTTTCACTCTCCTCAAAACACTGAATACCATCAGAAAACATTTGCTATGCAATAAAGCAAGCCTGCAAACTTAATTCATCCAGATATAATTCAGGGAAGAATTTGTAAGGACCATTTAAGAGTGGCATAGTTTAAAAGTGCACTGTGATTCAATTAGCAGCCTGCAAGTCATGAAGAATTATAGAAAGGCTTGAGAGGGAAATGACTTTAAAGATAACCCAGTTCCAGCCCCGCTGCCATGGGCAAAGGTGCCACCCACTGCATCAGACTGCTCAGGGCCCTGGCCAACCTGGCCTTGTTGAAGTGGCCAGGCATGGGAAAGAAGTCTTAGAAACTTCTATAGGTAGCAAGAAGTAATCTAGAATCAGCAGGAATGTTTGGCATTGCAAATGTGCATGTACATTTCCAATATTTCTAAAATTACTATAAAAATACTAAATCTAATCAGAATAAAGACCCAGTTAAAATGCTGAGCTTTTACATCCCCAAAACAATTATGAACTATGTTGCAGTAAAGATTACTTTTCACCTACAAAATCTGCAATTTTACCAAAACCATCAAACTGACACTTCTGAATCATTTTCTGCTGTATATAATGTAATGATCCACAATCTTTTGTTCTGGCATGAAACAGCACAGATTAAACAAAATCCAATTGCACAGAATTTTAAGAAAACACTGTAATGGAGTGCTGTGTATCCACAATATTTATATGCACACAGGGCATGGCAAAATTAGAATTTCTTATTGCTTTACAGCTACTTTAAAATGTGTACAAATGGGTTCTTCTGGGAAGCACCCAACATGAACTGATTCAAATTTTGTAAGAAAATGCTGCATAGCTCCACATTTCTACTTCCACACTCCTGCAAGGACCTTTCACATCTTAGTTCAAATTTAGCTTATACTGTTTACAGAAGCCCTGTACTTGCAATACACAACCTTTGCTTATGCTATGAAAGGAGACATTTTGGTCTCCCAGTACTTAGAGACATCATTCCATGCGTCAGTGTCCCGCTGGCAGATTATATACAGAAATCCTCTAATTTTATGGATTCCAACATCAGTGTACTATTTCCTGTCACAGAACATCGCTCAAGTACCTGATGTAAACACATATCTGCTGAGGAGGCAGAAGAGGAAGAAACACAGGGTGTAAATGAGCCCGAATCCCCTTGAGTGTGAGTTGGGCCAGAGTGGGAATAGCTCGGGTGCACAGCTGGGCAGATTTCCCACTTTGATCACACATAGCTGAGTCCACATCTGGCCAGAGCCCCACCATCTCCCTGTCCCTTTATCAGTCTTTCAAGAAATACATTTGGGAATTGTTAGCCTGGAAAGTTGAAAGGCTCATCTTGTTTTGGCCCTGACATACCAACTTAGCAGTGATTCTCAGGTGTGTCCCTGAACAAACAATACATCTGGACTTCTTTGGCATAACCCCTAAAAGACTTCTGATATACTCAATATCTATATGTACTGCTGGCCTGAAAGGACTAGTCTACCACTCCACAGAACAGCAGAACCCATGTTTGCCCTGGTAAAGATACCAGAAACCTCACAAAGTATAACTTATTTAATGCAGAGTTCCTCATGGGGTACTTGAACATAGGCTGCAAACTAAGGACCAAGGTGTTTCAGTTGAAAATCTGCACAGCACTACACTGAGATGTATGTATATTGAAAATATACTCCTTTCAATTCTGGACCGAAAACATAAAAAAACCAGAGGTAAAGATAGTGCTTTAGCGACCCTGTTTCCAGTCAGTTAAAAATCAACCCACAGACATCCCTGAAATTAAAACATTATTTTCTGTTCTTACTGGACACACACAGACATCACCAAATATCAAAATACCAAATACCAAAATAACTACAATCAATTCAACACAACACAGTTGGTGGTGTCTTTTCAAAAAGCACACAAGGCATTTTTAAGTGCTGAGACTCAATCACTTCTCTTTTCTATAAATACTCAGACTGGAAATTCCTAGCAGCCTTGCATGAGGAAGTTCATAGTTAGGCTATCAGCACCAAAATCAAAAACAGAAAAATGCAAGGAATCCCAGCCTGCCAGTTTTAACCTCCCTGAACATGAAATACCAATTCACATTAACTAGACAAATTCAAGAGATGACTATTTAGAGAAAAAACTTACGAATTTGTTTCTTAGCACAGATCATTAGCACTGCACTCATCATCAGCACTTCAGAACCTGTAAATACCTCACAGCTCTAAGTTAGGATTTTCATTCAATAAAGTTATTTTATTCAATGTTTTGGTAAAGCAGAGAGTGGCAATGATATTTTTAAGGACAAATACAAATGAGATGTTAGAATTCTGATTTCTGAATTCCAGAAAACCTAATGAATTTTCTATATCTAATAGATGCAGAAATAGACATTTTTTGTAAACTCACACTCTCAGACATTGTCTAGCCTAACTGGATTTTGATTGCAGAGAACTTCAGATGTCTGTATGGTACACAACTGTAATAATACCCAATCTAATCTAGATACTAGATACTAGAAGCCATGTAACCTGAATTAATAAACTCTTTCCCACACAACTCATTATCCTGAGAAATTAACTGATTCAGAAGGGAGAGTAATTATCAGGGCACAGGCTTATGACATATAGATGTAGCCTTACCTGTGATGAGGAACAATACATTAAAATAAACCAAAATAAGCCATTAAAATTACCCCAAAGCCTGCACTTCATTTTTCTACCAATATTTGTAATTGCTCACTATGTTTACACAATACATTTTAAGCCTCAAAACAGTATTTTCTGGGTGGGATACACAGTTTTATCTATATTTTCCTAGTTTTTCATTTTTCAATAAATTACATCCTCAACAATGAAGGAATCTGATATTTCCACTCCCTCATTATTTTCAGTTTAACGAGAAGCCTGAAAATCTATCCCTCCTACAGCTCCTTTTGCAAGCTAATGGAGCAGATGAGCTGAGATGCCACATTTGACTGCGCTCCACAGATTGTTCAATCCCTCCACCTGACTGCTGTGGCTTTTCCCTTTCTTGTCCTAAAGCCCCTGTCCCCTTACTCAAGCGCTCACCAAGGGGAGGTTGTTCACCTGAATGCACCCACAGCTGGTGCCCTGGAACCAGTGGGAGACAATACACATCCCAGCTCTCTTCCCTCTGCTCTGCAGCTTGTGACTCAGAATTCATAAGGCTGTTCTACAGGAGATGGATAAATAACAAACTCATCAGCTGACTGGGTTACTGTGTGAGGTGTCCATAAAAGTAAAATCACATTCAGCAGAAGAGGGACTTACAGCTTTTCTCTTAATGCAGAAAAGTTTGGATGAAAGAACAAGTTTTCCATTCACAAAAATTTCCATGTTATCCAAAACTAAATCCTTTGAAAGAAAGATACAGGGGTATGTAAAGTTTGGAAATTCTGTTTTTCTATAAATCCCAGATAAAATCATTCATGACTGTAGATGAAAAGTATGAAGCCAGTAATAAACAAGTTCGATTTTGCCTCAATAAATCCTAAAAAGCTAAGTATATCTCCTCCTATGACTATACATTCACATACAGCTTACTGTAATCTGAAATAATAGAAAATATGCATTTATCTTATGTACAGGTTCTTAGTTATACAGATTGGACATGTTTGCTTGCCAGAATTTTTTCTTGTGGCATTACATTGAATTCAACTGCCTGAACTGACAGAATCTCCTGGAGTAGGAAGTGAAAAGTACACATTTTCTATAAATTTAATTTGTAACCTATAACCCTCACTTACTGAAGGTTATGAATGCATTTTTCTAGAAACTAAAGCTGCAGTGGTACTTGTAATTGAGCTTTTTCTTCTTCATATTTCTGTACTTGTATTTTACTAGTCCTGATGCTGTAAGTTTATGAACAGAATACCAACATAGCAAGATACATCTTTAAAAAATCATTTACAACTTTACCATTCTTGAATACTTCATGTTACTGTGATTCTCAGATAAGTTAAATATGCATCAAATTGCTACAGACAGCTTACTCTAGC